TATAAAAAGAGTTAGTTAAAGATTAAATAAATGAGAATAATCTGATCAAAACTTTGAGATCAAATAAGGAATTAGAAGTAATGAGCTTGATGGAAAATTTTTGAAACATCAATTTTGAAAGGATGATGATATAATTATTATTATATTATGTTTTAATAATTTTTAAACTGTTTCAAAAATAAATCAGCAAAGGATGCCTCTAAAGAGTATGAGAAAGATGTACTATCATCAGTGCTAGATATAATACCAAATTACTAATGTAATATAGAAGATAAATTGTAGCTAAAAAAGGAGAAGAGATGGATTTTGAGATCAGGAAATAGTTTAATAAGTCAGATAATTTAAAAGCGTCAGATGAGAATTTAATAAAATAAGATGACGATGATTATCCTTATTGCAGATTTTCATTAGATTATTTTTCTTTAACTAACAGATTTCGGATTTTTTGTGTTTAAATAAATTAGTCGAAACTATTTTAATGGATTCATTCTCTATTAGTAATTTTTATAAATAATTTAAGTCAATGATAATAGTATGTGTATTAATTGTTAAGCCTTATAATAATAAAAATAGTGGTTTGAATATAACAATATCAATGGAAGTGATAGAAGGAATAATAATCTCATGTGATGTAATATTTAGCATTTAAGTTGTGATATCAGTAATATCTTTTGGGTAATGAATTAAATTTATGCATAGAATGTGGAATTGCAAATATGGATATTACAAAGACCCATACGCATTTATAAATAGTATATGTTTGTTATTTGCCCTAATTCTTCGATAATCCTACTTATATATATTCAGGGCATTATTTTTGGTGGATTTTATTGTTTAGACAAAATATTTTTTAATTGTTAAGAAGTTGAGTAATACTGTAAAACATGCTTTGATGATGACTGCATATGTCATAATTATAATTACTTTATTTACCTATATATATGCAACTATGGGAGTCTAAATATGGAGTGATCAATTATATCATTATTGTGTAAAAGATGGACAGATTGATGATTATCCAGCAAGATTGTGTGGATTTGGTAGATAATGTCCAGATGATTATGTATGTTAAAGTGGATATTATCACTAACCGTTCACATAGTATGATTATATCTCTTTTGATGAAATTCCAAATGCTTTGCTTACTTTGTTTATTTGCCATTTCATTGAAGGTTGGGTGGAAGTATAATAAAATTTAGCAGATTCCTTTAACAAGTATATCAGCTCTATCTATTTATGGTCTTACATAATTATAGGAACTTTTTTCTTGTAAAACCTTTTAGTGGCCATCCTTTTAAATTAATATCAAATGGATTAATAAACTGAAGAAGCACCCAAGATCAAAATAAAAAGTTAAACTAAAATTTAGATAAATAATGAGAGAAGACGATCATATTTCTTAATTCCTGGTCATTAAAGTAGAAGCAAAAAAAGAGCTCTTTAATTGATACATAATTAACATAACAAAGCTGCATAAAGATCATAATTGAGAATCAAACTTAAGAATATAATATCATCAAATTATGTGAAATATTTTTATTCCCTTTTATTTATAACTAATCTAATCTTGTTTTCATTAAATGATGAATCGGCTTATCACAATAATTTTGAAGATTAAATCACTGTTATTAATTTAGTTTTTCTTTTTATATATATTTTAGAAGACATAGCAAGAATTTATGTTTGGAAATAAAAAGAAAATAAATATATTCTACTTTCAGAATTTATTATTGACTTTATTAGCTTTATAGTTCAAATTAATGATATGTCTTACGCATTTGTACTAAATGCAATTAAAGGCTTAAGACTTCTATGGTTTTTCAACACATAAACAAGTTGGTCAAATTATAAAGTGCTATTATCAGCTTTACAAAAGTCATTCATCAATATTCCTAAATTAATTTTGGTTTTTTTAACATATATGATTGTAATTGGGATATTGGGAAGAGAATATTTTGCTGGAATGTTGCATTTTAATGAACAAGGTAATTATGATAAATAAGGTTCTTATATACCAAGAGCAAATTTTGATAGTATCAGAAATACAGTGTCTTCATTGTTTATAATAATTTGCTCTGATTAATGGGAAAACATTTTTTACACTACATTAGAAACAAAAACCTGGATTCCTTATCCATTTTTTATTTTTGTGTTAATTTTATGTAGATTTTTCATCCTGTCTTCTTTTTTAACAATAATGCTTGATAATTACGAGGAGGCAAAAAATGAAGCAGACAAGTCTAAAGCTCGTGCTTAGAGAGTGATTTCATCTATGCAAAGTAATTATAAATAAGATAATTTTTAAAGAAACGAAAGTAGTTCCAGTTGTTCAATAATAATCATAATCTGTAACACCTTAAACTGAAAAGATAATATATTTTGGAAGGTTATCGAAGTTATCAGATGATAGTGATGATGAAGAGCAAGAATCTAAACATTAAATATTACAAAGATCAGCATCAAAATTACCTTAAATTACTATTTTCAAAAGTAATGATGACATTAAAGTATCAATTAGCACAAATTAATCATATAAGCAATACTTTATGAACTCAGCCTTATTCGTTTTACATAACAAAAGTATTTTAAGAAAAAGAATACAATAATTATTATAGAATAAATATTTTGAATGGTTGATGAGTTCAATAATAATTTTAAACCTGATTCTTTTGGGTCTTGATATACCAATATATGAATAAAAAGATATAATATAGAAATTTAACGTTGTTTTTACGATAATATTTATTTTTGAAATCCTATTAAAGGTTCTTGGACATGGATTTATTTGGAATTAGAATGAACATAATAGAGCCTTTATTTACAACAATCAAAATAATATTGATTTGGCTGTATTAATTATAAGTTCAATTAGTGATCTAAATCTTTATAACAGCGGATATTTGAAAGCATTTCGTGCATTGCGCACTTTAAGAGTATTCTCATCTGCAAAAGTAATTATATTGAATTGATATATAGAGAGGATCTTAAAGTGAAGAATTAAATTTGATATCAAAATCTTTATTTCAAACAATATCATTGTTATCATCAATGATATTTGTAACAGGTATCTGTATTTGGATTCTAAGTATTTTTTGTATGACAATATGGAAAGGTAAGTTGTATTTTTGTACAAATGTACAAAGCTATGATAACATTTATACAAAGCAAGATTGCTTGGATTAGAATGGAGAATGGATTAATAATATAACTAATTTTGATACAGTTTAAGATTCATTATTGTGTTTGTTTAGAATAATTATTGGAGAAGGATGGACAAGTCAAATGTTTTATGTATCAGATATAACAGAAAGAGATATGCATCCAAGAGTTAATTCATCTGCCAACTATTAACTTCTGTACTATATATTATTGTTTTTGTTGAATATTATGCTTTTAAATCTATTCACAGGTTTGATCATCAACAACTATAGAACTATTAAGGAGAACATCAGTAATTACAAATCTCTGAATGAACATCAAAGAGAATGGTTGCAAATGATGTATATTATGCAAAAGAAGAACCTTATAAGATTAATTGAGAAACCAGAACATAAATTTAGATAGATATGTTACTACATAGCTACCTATAAATATTTTGAATTGATTATACTCATACTCCTACTTTTGAATTTGATATTGTAAGATTTTTCCTTATTATAGTTGTTCTGCCAATGGTAAAACTATTAATTAAACAACCAAATAAGCATTCTATGTTTTAGACATTCTCTTTATTACCCTATTTCATATTGAAGTTTTCATCAAATTTTCAGCATTTTGGTATCTCTATCTCAAAGATTCATGGAATAAATTTGACATACTATTATTAATTTCTACAGATGCTTTATTGATACTTGATAGTAAAATCGATATGCCTAAGATTTTTATGATTCCCTTGATAATTCGTTGTTTGAGAGTTCTTAATACCTATAAGATACTTAAATTGAATCGACCTCTAAAAGTCCTTATTGATGTCATATAAGAAATTTTGCCAACCTTATTAAGTGTCGTCGCCTTTATTCTTATAATTGTAATAGTTTATGCTTTAATTGGAATTTAAACATTATCTACAATTAAATCAACTACTCGAGATGCATAATATCCTTTTTATTAAGAATTAGGTTAGAGGAATAAGAATTTCTAGAATTTTTGGGATGCTATTTTAATTTTAATAGAAATTACAACAGGCTAATATTGGCCTTTTTATATGTTAGATTATACAATAGACAAGGCTGGTTGTCATTCATAATCTGCAGAATAGATAATGAATGAAGGGGTGTAAGGATGTAGTACTTTTTTTGGATATTTTTATTTTATAAGTTTCTTAGTTTTAATTAGAATTATAATGATTTCTTTGTTTTTGGCAATGATTATTGAATCATATCATGAATGTTTGCTTGAGAATACTGCAGTCATAAATCCATATTAGATAGAAGATTTCTTTTTAAAATGGTCAGATTATGATCCAAAAGGAAGTGGATGGATAAGTCCAGAAGATTTTGCATTTTTGATGTTTGAGATGAATCCACCACTTGGGTTTAAAGATGAGAATGCATAATTATAATTATTTGATTTCAATCAAAGTAATAAATTAATTGATATTAAATTTTAGATCATAAGAAACACTCTGCATATATTTATAATCCTAGAACAAAAATGCATTTGAAGAAAATAGATATTTTTAAGAAACTTAAAGATTTTCAAGTTTTAATTTATAAAAACTAAATGATTCACATAAAGGATGTTTGTTTATAAATAGCATATAATGCTGTAAAAAAAAAGAATGATTTGCATGGAATTGAATAAATTGCAGATAAATTAGTATTGAGAAAGATTAGAAAATCTTGGGAAGCTAAGTTTCCTGATTTAGGAGATCAGAAATTTCTTCATTTTGCAGTTGATATATTTGCAATTAGTTCTATAAGTAACATCCTTAGAGGAGTAATAGAGAGAAGAAAGGTTAAGAAGAGAATTAAAGAAATGCAAAAATAAAATAATTTAAGATAGTTAGAAATAAATGAAAATGCTTATTTGACAACAAAGAATGTAGAAGAATCTCATCGTCACAGAAGAAAAAGTTAAATAAGAAAAAGAGTATTTCCGTTTGCTCAATCTAATAATTCTTATAGAAAAAATAAATTAAGTCTTGAGGGAAATGTTTAAAATCGTAGATTGGTTCGTAGAACAGATGTAATGTAATCTCAATAGTTATCTTCCTAAGTAGAAACTAATTCACTTTCAACACATAATTTTTATATAGATCCTTAGGAAATGTATAATGGATTCCCAATGAAAGTAGTATATGAAACTCAGAAGATAGATTTTCCTAGTGATAATTCATAACGCTCTTTCTTTGGATAGATGAAATTTAAAGGAGATATATCAGAAAGGATGTCTGAAGAAGAGAGCAAAAATTGAAAATTAATATTATGTCTTAATAATAATAAAAATCCATGAATGATACTCTTTTTGATACAAAAGTCTTAGATAACTTCGAATAAGAGTTTTAATAAGTTCATGATGATATCAATCCTAAAATACATTCTCGTATTGCTCCATTAATTTTTGCAATTAAAGGATTAAAATAAGAGATAAATCAAGTCTTTGCTGATTTCATTAGAGAAACTAATAAAGCCACTGATGTTTTACGTATAAAAGATATGTTCGAAGCAGTGTTAATGGAATATAATTTAAGAGAAAAAGAAAGTAATAAATTAATGGAAGCCATATTATAAAACGATTCTAAATAAATTAGATAAATCTCTTAATTACTTAAAGAGATTCGTGAACTTCAACATGAAGTAAATCAATTTCAAAGGTAAAGTGAGGTCAAACGATAAAGACAATGTGGTATTTTTAAAGGAAATCCAACAGATTTTAAGAAATAAAATACTTAAATTATAGATGAAACCAGTATTTATGATTGGGTTGTCGATATAGATTTCATAACCTCTATAAATAGTACGGGATGGAAAGTTTGGTTGTCTCCAAAAATGATAAATTAAGAAATCATCAATATAAAAGCTTTAGAAGGTGCAACTGTTGCAGTAACTGGACTCTATGATAAAGGAAAAACCTTTGTTTTAAATAGTCTTACTATGAGCAATCTACCTTCTGGAAAGAAAGTTACAACTAGAGGTATTTCTTTTAAGCATGTAAATGTTGATAATGGTACTAAACTTATTTTAGTGGACACAGCTGGAACTTATAGTCCTGTCAAAATTGAAAATGAATTGTCAATTGTAGATAAAGAAGCCACAGAAACATTTATATCTGATTTGGTATTTGATTTAGCAGATTACTTTTTATGCGTTGTCAATGATTTTACAAGTCTTGATTAGAGATATTTAGATAGATTAAGTCGTAATTTATAGCAAAGTCCCAATAAAACATTTAGAGAAATTATTGTTATTCATAATCTTAAAGATGTTGAGTCAACTGAAATTTTAGAACATGTTTGGAGTACTCAAGTGACTTAAATTTATGCAAATGGAACTCTTTAAAAAACTAAAGTAGCTGCACTTAACCCAATTAATAAATAACTCTAAGAAAAGCATGTACTTTGGTTTAAGACTCCTTACACTAGACATGTATGCATTGTAAATGATGATTGCAATTTAGGAAAAAGTTTAAATCCTTGGGTATTTTCACTTTTAAGATACTGGTTAAAAGCTGTCTTTATTCCTGTAAATAGGAGCTTTTCAGTTTTAGATTGTTTATTGATTTAATCAAGATAAAAATTAGTAAATTTTTTTAGAAAGAACATAAAAATAGACTTGAAAAATACAGATGATCCATTAATAAAGGTGATTAAAACAGAAAATGAATTTCAAGATAAAATTTAAATCCCTTAAGGGTAGGTTGATATGAGTGGTTTAATCACGGGATAATAAGATTCATTTTAGCCTGCAACAGATATAATAGCTGGTGATTAATACATAATTTTAATGGATGCTCCAGGTTTAACTAATGATGATGTTGATATTCAAAGATAAAATGTAGTAACTTTAGTAAAAGGAAACAAATAGAGACCTTACATAAATCAAGGATAATTAGAAAAGAGTGAAAGAAAATATGGGGAATTCACACTCACATTTAAAGTATTCTCTTTATACTAAATGATTAGATTCCTGATATTTATGAAAGGTAATGGTCTTATTTTGGAGTTGAGAAGGGAGTTATCACAATAAAATACGATAAAGATAAGGATGATATATGATTATATAAATTATTTTATGAGTGAAAGTCCACATTAATTAAAAGCCAAGATTGATTTCTTACATTAAGAAAATCAATAACTTAGAAACACTATTGAAGATTTACAAACTGTCATCAAATTGAATAAATAATCTATGCGTTCTATGATTGATTAAGACGTTGGGAATCCTAGATTTAATTAACAAACTACTATTCGTGAGAATGAAAATACTGTTAAAGCCCTTAAGATGGTAATTACAGAACAACAAAAAGAAATTGATCATTTAATGTCATCGTTAGAGAAAGTTTAAAAGGAAAGGGATTTTGCCTAAGGAAAAGCCCTTATCTCAGAAGAGATTACTTATGCTGCAGAAAAGAGTGAAAAGAAGTTCATAGCAGAACTTGAGTCAACTATTTTTGAACTTAATCATACCATCAGTTAGCAAGCATAAAAAATATGTTAACTTGAAAAATAGGCAGATTAACGAGATGATACTACTGGAGTGGTTGTAAGATATAGAGATGTAATTCATCCAAATTCAGCTACTATTTTACTTCATGAAGAAATGGAAACATTACATCAGTTGATCGTGAGATTATAATTATAAGTTAATTACCTTAAGAGCATACAATTAAAATTAGTTACACTAATAAATAAAGTTATAAACAATATATAAATGAAAATTTAAGGAGAGTTAATAGATTTAGATGATGATTATGAAAAAGCATAACATGAATTTTTAGAAATATTAGCTTAAATATAATGTAAATTTATAATTTGAATAACTATGTTTAGAATCTAGATTACCAACTGTAGATTTACCTGTTAGAACACATACTGTATAATCACCTATGAATACAGATATGATTCACTCTCCAATACCTTCTCCTTTCCCTGCTAAAGCTCCTTAAGTTTTTAAAAAAAACTTTTAAAATTTAAATTAAACATTTGATGGAGGTGTTGGACTCAATGAATCCTATCAACAATACGTTAAATAAGAAGATTTAAAAAAAAATAATTCTAAGGTACCCAAATTAAATTTAGCTAAAGCATTTTAAATTCAATAAATTAATGCTAAAAGATCAACTTAATAAATCAAACTCACTGAAGATTAGTTATAAAATAAACTTCGTAAAATAGAATCAGAACTGGAAGATACTAAAAAGAATTTATCCAGAGAAATGATATTATGCAAACATTATGAGATAGAAAATGAATCACTAAAAAGACACATAAGATAAATTGAAGCAAATAATGATATATTAGTTAAATCTAATCTCAATTTCAATCAAAAATGGGAGAAAATTTAAAAAAGTTTTATGTATTACAAAACTTTTTTTGTAGAACATAAAGATTAATTTGCTTAATTATAAATATTAGTTTAATCTGAAAAGGAAGTAATATTTATATTTTTATTATTAGAAGGCTTTATCATAAGAGGATTTTAATGAATTTGGTTTTAATTCTGCAAGAGTAAGTCATGCTAGAAAAGGCTAAACTCAAAGAAAAAAAAATCTGTTAGATTAAACATTAACTACTTATGGCCCTATGTATTAAGGTAATATTTTAATATTAATCATCATAAGAATCTTTGATGGAAGTAGAGAATCAATTGGCTAGAGTCAATTAATCAGAAACTTATAACTAAAATAATAGGATTGATTCAAGTTGTGCCATTGAAAATGACAGAGATGGTGAACTTGGTAACTTTTGCTTAGATAGAGATGATAGTTATATTGAAAATACTGAATGGAAAAACAATTTAAAAAAAGAATGGACTATACTAGCAACTTAAGTTCATTCTGCTAAACCAAAAGATTTGGCACAATAAATAAAACAATCCTAACCTATTTAGAAATTGTAAAATATTAAATCATGAAATATATCATTAATTATAATCAATATCCATTTCATCAATTAGATTTTTGGTATCATTGATTTATTAAAAAATTTAGTTTGATAATTAAATAACCTTTATGTTAGGAGAGGGCGGTATTTAAATAGAAGTTTAAACTTATAAATATCCAAAATAATTGAGTAGTTCAATTTCATCTTTTTCATTAATCACTTGACTAATTTTGTCATTTTACTTTTGTAGCTTAATTTCAGTATCATTTAATCTATTAATATAATTATCTTATTAATCTGTAATTTAGGGAAAGTTTTCTACTTTTTCTAATAATTCGCTTTGTTTTTAGTTCAATAATTAATGCAAAACCTAATTTATTGAAAAATTACTTAAAATTCTTATGCTATTTACAATCTCATATGATCTTAAATTGCAGATTATTGAATTTATTTTTTTTCTAACTCTTTTCTTGAATTTTCTATTTAAAACATCAATTATTGATGTTATTCAATATTCTGTTCTAATTATTTTCTAATCAATGGATAAGATTTTTTAATTGTTTTAACTTCATGATTCTTATGAATTCCATGAATTATACATTCAGGACATATACATTTACTATTACAATCAAAGCAATAATAAGAAACATCTTCATCTGGATGATCAATACATTAACTTCTTGCATGTTGTATAAATGAATTTTCACTTTATTACTTACTCATTTTGCGTTATGATATATGAACAGTTGATTTAACTTCTGGATTCTATATAGAAAATTTTATAGTTTTTTCCTTTTAATTCTCTTTATTATCTTATCTAGTTTAAGACCTCGATTTAACTTATTTTTCTGAATTAATATTGGATTTTTAGACAATAGCGGGTTTGCGATTTGATCGATCTTGAAATGTTAATGCACAATGTATTTTCTCTAATTCGTATATACTATTAGAATCTAATTCTGTATTTGATAAACAGGTATCACATACAAAAAACTTGAACATATTTTGACCAGAAATACTTTATTTTTCTTTTTGGTTTACTAATTTGAAAATGATTTAGCAGCACAATCCAAACATAAGTCATGGGCACATGTTAACATTAATATATCATCAGGAACTTTTGAACATTTGCTACACTTTGAAACATTGATCATTTTAAATTTTCTATGTTCGTTAACTAATTTTATGAAATAATAAAAACTTGATCAATTAGCACAAATAATAAAGAGACTAGAACACATTCTTGATCATGCTCAACCCAGAAATTCTCAACATTCTCTATTCCGTCTCTTTCCCACCTTTTAACCTGATGAATAAACCTCATCGGAATAGAGTACTAACTAAATCATTTTTGATGAGTAAGCAACTTAAGATTATACAAAAAATGATCTAAAAAGACTGTCAACTGAATCTGTCTTTATAAAATTAGATTATACTCACATTTCAATATAATTAAGGAATATTCTATAAAACTGTTTTTAGAACCTTAATATAGACTCAGTAAATCATATATCTGAACTATTCTTAAAAAATACTCAAAAAGATAATCTTTATAGTGCAGTGATTATTAATTAAATAAATCTTATACAAAGTGTTATCGAAACTCATTCAGTTTGTTAAAAATTTAACACTGCAATATAGAATTTAGCTATCGAATTCAATAATTGTAATTAATATGATTTTATTGAGAAAGTAATCACAATAAGATCTGATTTCTTTGCAGAAATTAACAAACATAAAATTGATGAGACATTAGTTCCTTAATATAATTAATTTTAGTTAATAAAAGAATAATAGTTAAAAATTATGCAAACCTAATAAGCTATAGAACAGCTAATTCAAAAATTTTGCTGATTAATCTTATATTTGTTTATTTTTATTAATTTAATTAAACCATTTTTTATCAAAATTTTTACTTATCAAAAGTACATAGCATATAAATTATTTTACAAATCATCAATATCGCTATAATCTAAAAACTATTTTAATTTTAATTATTTTTAATTTAAATCTCTAACATCTTTAACATGTCTGAAATTTAATAAATAATTTTCTAAATGTAATAATTCCTATATAAATTATTTATTAATAATACTAAATCGTCCTTATTATCATAATAGGCAATTATTGGAATGCCATTATCAATTTGTTTACTAAATGAATAAGAAGCATTATCTATTAATAAGACATTGGATAATTTTCGATTTCCTAGTACTCTAAAAATAATTCAAATTTACCTTAAATCTTTAATGTAAGCTCCTTCTTGAGTTTAGAGACAATTTTCTCTAAAAAATCTGTGTGAAATCCATTACTTTTTTGGATCCAAATAATCAATTACAATATTGGCATAACTAGAGTGAGAAGCTGTAAAAACAATAATTTCAAAATGTTTTGAGAGTGTTTACAGAATTTATCTAGCATAAGGTCGAATATTGATCGAAGCTTAAACTGTTTCACCATTTGGAAAAGTTATTGGTAAGATTACATCTCCTTAAATTGAAATATTTGAATTGCAATGTATCAAAGTCTCATCTAAATCAAATACTATTGTTTTAAGATTATTAGATCTTGGCAATTTAATAATGTTGTCTGTATTAAATTATATTTCTAGTTTACTTGCATATATTAATCCCTAAATTAATCAATACTATATTCACTTGATATGTTTGTAATAAATGATCTTTGATGAGTTCATCAAGCTGTGTAGGTTTCTTACTTTTTACAGCTTAAATTACAGTAGAAATATAATACAAGAACTAATTTAATTAAATTTCTTACAGGCTCATTAGGTTATGTTTCACTCATTTTATTGAGATAACAATATTTAGCATCCATTGATGATTATCTTTCTGATTTATTTAAATTTGTATCTGTTTAATGAACATAAGATCCTTTCAATACCTAAGAATTTTTATTTAAATTCCTTTTTATCTAAGTCACAAAATCCTATAATTAGCTATTCTTTTTGTCTTGAGATTATTTCAATAATTATTAATTTTAAGATTAATTTTAAGTATGACTTTTCATTTCTTTAATTTGTGAATAAAGATTAAATATTTAATTAATATCTTTATTGACTTTTCTTTCATCTTAACTATTATTCTTTTCATTCTATTATTCTATTACTTTTTTAGGAAAATATTTTGATACCAAAGAATTCTGTTTCTATTTTATTCTATCTGTTTTTTTGTCTTATTAGTTTTCACTTACATTAATCAATGAATCTTTTAATTAATTAAACTTTTTTTCTAGATACTCTAATTTCTCATTCAATCTCTTATAAGCTTAACTTTCAATAGGTCTTTATTTTTATTATTCATTTGATAAAAACTCAATTCCTTTGCTATTTTATTCTTTTGTGGATTTTATCTATGTATGTCGTAATTTATAGCCACTTTATTAAAGTAAAGTGAGATATGAAAAATTCTTCATCTCCTTGATTTGTTATTGATTTCCTTTATAATTTTAATATGAATTTTTCTCAACAGCTGATGAAGCACGATAGAATTATTAAAGCGATGCAGATTTCTATAACCCACTATTTGAACGATTTTCATTTTTTTATTGACTTGAGCTACTGTTCTCCCTATTTTAAAGCTATTTTTTTCTCTATAATAGAGCATAGGAGTTTTCTTTATCAAATACTATTCCGAATCTGCTATTATCTGAAATTCCTTATTTACTTAGCAAGTCTATATTTCATTTTTAGATAATTACCTGCATATGAGTAGTTCTGTGTTGTCTTATACATCAACTTAAGATTATGATATTTAGAATAAAAAGTCTGTTTATTTTAATATAACAAAATATGTTCATTTTTTTAAAGGGGTCTTAAAATTACCTACTTTTTCTTGGTTCTGGAAAAGCTCTAAGTTTCTTCTAAAATTATCATTCTATTACCTTTGTTATTACTTTTATTTAAAACGATCAACTTCTGGTTCTTTTACTTTCTGAGGGTTAACTTAATATTTTTATATAGTTAAAGGACTGTAAGCTTGCTTATTTAATTATAGATTTTATTTTTCCTAAACTTAATTAACTTTATTTTATGGATTACTATCTTAGTTTTAAATACATTATGAAATTTTTTAATAATCAGTGAATTCTATTTAGATCTCGTTTTTTACTGATTATTTATTATATTCCTTCTTATTAGATTCAAATTTTGTAGTACCTATGATGATTTCTTCTTTTATTTTGTTTTCAATTTAAGTGATCTTAACTTTTTCTAAAGATTGTTATTTTTGAATATCAGCAGAAGATTTAAATTCACAATTTTATTTAAGAATTATTTTATATGGATCTTCTTGTTAATTGATTTAATTGTTATTATGAATATTTTATTAAACTTGCTCATTCAAATTATACTAGTTTATTTTAAGATCAAATTCTATTTTATTTTAATCATTTATGAGATGCTGAATTTTTTAATCATGAAGGTTTGATTTATTTTAAATTACAGAATCATCAGTAGAAGTAACTTTATTTTCTTTAAAGTCAGTTTGAATTTCTTATTGTTTTTAATTTTCAATCATGTTTTATTATTTATTAATATCATTTTATTCTTTCTTTCTAAATGAATGATTAGGTGATAAACATTTATCTTAATATGATTATAATCCTTCAAATAAGATAGAATCTAATTTTAAATCTCCTTCCTTATCTGCTTTAACTAATTCAAATGGTTCATACACATTAGCTGTTTTTTCTACCCCTGAATTTAATGCATACATTTTTTTTAAATCTTAAGACACTCCTAAATTAAAAAAGCTAATTAGTTTAATTGATTTTTTATCTAATTCATTTTTAAATGGATCAAGTAAAATTTCATCATAAAAATTTCCTGTCCAAAATAAATTTAATTCATTTCTTGTAAAAGCAATAATTGTACATGTCGAAACCATTAAAACTTATGTAAATATTGATCTATTAGTAAGTAAATATAAATTACGTTGGTAAAGGGAATGATATTAAGAATTACACAATAACCCAGAGAACCAAACCAATTAAGAGACCAAAAAAACTTACTATCTCATATACTAATGTTTTTTTTAAAATATCAAATCGATGAACATAACCAAGAAAGAAACCTATTATTTATGAAATTTTAACCTGGAAATAGAATATTAAATATCGAAACCCATGCACATTTCTTTTTGTAAATAAATCTAAAATATGGAATTTAAGCAGAGAATGGTGTATTAAAATATCTTAGAACCAAACTATCCCATTCATATCTGATATTCATTCCTAAATAAATTGAACAAAATATATCCATAGCCATAATTGGTAAGAAAAATAACAAACAATTTTTGAGAGAAGTAATCTTCAACAATTTAATAAGTGAACCAAGAATGCAAATAGATATTAAATTGCTTAACTAAATTAAATAATTTATTTACAATCCAAATTTATTCTGTACCTAAATAAACAGAAAACAATCCAATACCCAAAATTAAAGAAAAAATATCACAATATCTGATATAATATATCAGTTTTACAAAAAATGGAACTTATTTTCGAAATGCACAAAACAATTCATCAATAAAGTGGATAGTACAAATAATGCAAAGAATATAGACTAAAACTTACAAAGGTCTTTCAGCCTTTTCTTATAATTATAATGATATGAACAAAGCTCCCAATAAAAGAATTATATAGAATAATGCTTAATGCCAAGATAATTAAAAACCTTAAAATGGAGAACATTCTTATGCAATTTTCTCCAATTTCTCTTAAGGTAATTCTTTTTTTAGTTTTTTTGTTATGAAAACAACTTTAAAAACATAAATCTTTCCAAACATTGATAAAACCAAAATCAAAACACTTTCAAAAAATATCAGAATAATATTACTCCAATCAAATCTAATTTAATAATATTAATACCTTACAGGGTAGTAATCTTTTCCACATAAAAATTAATAATTAAAAATCACAGGATCAAATCCTTCAAATTGTAAAATACCTCGTTTTATACTCCAATATCTATCATTATCAAGGTTTTTCCAGCAGAAATGAGTAATATTTATCTCTAGATAATTATCAAAACCAAATATAATTGGTTAATCTTTTGGATAATTAACTTATATTTAAATATCTTAATCTGAAAGCTCTTCTGTAATATTAAACCATTTAATATACAAAGGTTCTTTACCAAGATTCTCAATATAAAATGGAAGATTAAATCGTTATANCTAATGTTTTTTTTAAAATATCAAATCGATGAACATAACCAAGAAAGAAACCTATTATTTATGAAATTTTAACCTGGAAATAGAATATTAAATATCGAAACCCATGCACATTTCTTTTTGTAAATAAATCTAAAATATGGAATTTAAGCAGAGAATGGTGTATTAAAATATCTTAGAACCAAACTATCCCATTCATATCTGATATTCATTCCTAAATAAATTGAACAAAATATATCCATAGCCATAATTGGTAAGAAAAATAACAAACAATTTTTGAGAGAAGTAATCTTCAACAATTTAATAAGTGAACCAAGAATGCAAATAGATATTAAATTGCTTAACTAAATTAAATAATTTATTTACAATCCAAATTTATTCTGTACCTAAATAAACAGAAAACAATCCAATACCCAAAATTAAAGAAAAAATATCACAATATCTGATATAATATATCAGTTTTACAAAAAATGGAACTTATTTTCGAAATGCACAAAACAATTCATCAATAAAGTGGATAGTACAAATAATGCAAAGAATATAGACTAAAACTTACAAAGGTCTTTCAGCCTTTTCTTATAATTATAATGATATGAACAAAGCTCCCAATAAAAGAATTATATAGAATAATGCTTAATGCCAAGATAATTAAAAACCTTAAAATGGAGAACATTCTTATGCAATTTTCTCCAATTTCTCTTAAGGTAATTCTTTTTTTAGTTTTTTTGTTATGAAAACAACTTTAAAAACATAAATCTTTCCAAACATTGATAAAACCAAAATCAAAACACTTTCAAAAAATATCAGAATAATATTACTCCAATCAAATCTAATTTAATAATATTAATACCTTACAGGGTAGTAATCTTTTCCACATAAAAATTAATAATTAAAAATCACAGGATCAAATCCTTCAAATTGTAAAATACCTCGTTTTATACTCCAATATCTATCATTATCAAGGTTTTTCCAGCAGAAATGAGTAATATTTATCTCTAGATAATTATCAAAACCAAATATAATTGGTTAATCTTTTGGATAATTAACTTATATTTAAATATCTTAATCTGAAAGCTCTTCTGTAATATTAAACCATTTAATATACAAAGGTTCTTTACCAAGATTCTCAATATAAAATGGAAGATTAAATCGTTATATATTTGACCCTTGTTTATTTAGGTTCATCACTCTAAATTTGGTTACGTTATTTGGACAACAAGATAAGGATGGAAATGATGCATAATTAAAATTTTCATGTACTTTTCCATTTACATAAACAATTTAGTCTAAATCTTGATCATCAGCTTCCGATTATAATAATGGACCAATAGATAGATTTGCATTTGGAAATGCTGCTAGAGTTATAGTTAAAAAATAATAAATAAACATAATATTATAATTCTACTTTTTAAAAGTTTATATTATTATTCTGGACATTTTTCAAAAATGTAAATTGTTTTTATCGTTATGCTAGTTTTTCATTGATCAACACAATTTTTATCCAAATATTTTCAAATTTAATATTAAAAGTAACAATTATATAAGTATATGATTCATCAGTATAATTCGCCCGATGCTTGAAGCCATTCTTCAACTCCTGTCAATATTGCAATTAATTTGCTTAAATTTTTAGACATTTTTTGGATATCACCAACATCAAATAAAGGTTCAATCTCTTCTGCATTTTTATATGATTAAGGGGCTTTATTTAATTCAATATGTTAGTAATTTACTAAACATCTATTTGGGCTTAAATGATTTAATAAAACTGGATTCTTGAGTTCTCCAAGTTGAATATGAGCATGAGATAATCCCTTAATTTTACTAAGATCCAAAGTACCTCTATCAGTTAGTAGGGATTAAGTTTATTGAGGTTTTGGAATTCTATGATTATATTATTTGTACCTAATAAAAGAATTCGCATTTTTTTATTCTAAATATGCTCTTTTTAAATTTGTTTTATCAAACAATGGTTGTTTTCTTACTTAATAATGTAAAAGTGAAGGTTTTTTCTTTTAATTATTTGTCATAAGTTCAAAATTATGTTTTGCTTTTTATAAGTTTTCATCTTTGTCTTATGCAAAGATAACTTCAAATGGTTCATCATCAGAAGATATATTAAAATTTGCTTCTTCAGTGTTTACAGATTGTTTCTCCTTTTTGCTTTTTCCTACTGAACCTTATTCAAATTTAGCAACAGCTAATCTCTTTAAAGATGAATTAGGTTTCTAACATATATAGGATGATTACTAAAGTATCTCCATTTATCATTTTATTATGAAAAAACTAAGCCATTTCTATGTTTCCTTCATAAAAATAATATTTTCCCATTTGATCATACCCTTTTAATTCTTCATTAGGTTTATCCAATTTCCAACTACACATTAAATATTTGGTTATATAAGTTTTTGCTTATTTAAGTCTTAATTTAAGAAAACATTAAGATAAGATTTCATAAGCTTTAATTTTATACTTAAGCATAGATTCAGAGTCAGAGAATCGTTTAGCATTTTTAGCAAGCAAAATAGCATAATGAAGTAGATTATAATATTTAGCAATTTTAGATAGTGCTAAACTAACCATAATTTTAATATCTATGTAATAGTTTAAGTTAAATACCAAGATTCCGAATTTTAGAAATTTGGTTATTGATTTCTTAAATAATTTCAATGCAAAAGGATCTTTTAGATTTATTTAGTAAAATCCTTCTTAATTTGTCAATTAACATTGTGATGTCATCTTTATTACGTTATAACATTTCTTAACTAAAAATAGTAGATTGAAACAAAATACATATATATTTATGGATTAGTTTATCGAATCCTACATTCCTCTTTAACTTTTTCTATTTCTGTTTTGAATGTATTTTTAATGTTGTTTATAAGCATATTGATTTTGGATTTATTTTGTTTAGAAAAAGCATTTGATCTTTTGATTAAATAGCCTTCATTAGTTGATTATTCGGTGTTGAATTTTTCATGAATATATTTGCTAGATTTATTTGTATGTGCAGTGGTTTATAGTACATCACATGTTCGTTCTGTTGTTTTGAGTCCACTTAGACGGGAAAGAGAAGGATTATTCTTAATTAGAAAGTATTGATAAAACATAAAATAAAATAATCATTAATCTAATGGAGATTAATTGGTTCTGAATCTCTTAAATTTTAATCTAAAATGAAGCATTTAGGATTAGTTTGAAAGCTGAACTTTTGGTTCTTAATAATTATAAAAATTGATGCTATTTTCATGTTTTTGGTTATTGTTCAAATTAGAAATATTTGATAATTCTTAATGCAAATAATTAGAGTACGCTTAATTAGTTTATAATTTGATTTAGACTTTAGCTAATTATTTTTTATGTTCTTTGATTTTTAAATCACAAGAAGAGATAATCTCTTAATTTTTTTTTAAGATAGGTTCTTAAATAGTGGTTGATCTGACAAATCTACTTAAATAGCGATGAGATGAAAGCTTTTATAGATTGNTCATCATCAGAAGATATATTAAAATTTGCTTCTTCAGTGTTTACAGATTGTTTCTCCTTTTTGCTTTTTCCTACTGAACCTTATTCAAATTTAGCAACAGCTAATCTCTTTAAAGATGAATTAGGTTTCTAACATATATAGGATGATTACTAAAGTATCTCCATTTATCATTTTATTATGAAAAAACTAAGCCATTTCTATGTTTCCTTCATAAAAATAATATTTTCCCATTTGATCATACCCTTTTAATTCTTCATTAGGTTTATCCAATTTCCAACTACACATTAAATATTTGGTTATATAAGTTTTTGCTTATTTAAGTCTTAATTTAAGAAAACATTAAGATAAGATTTCATAAGCTTTAATTTTATACTTAAGCATAGATTCAGAGTCAGAGAATCGTTTAGCATTTTTAGCAAGCAAAATAGCATAATGAAGTAGATTATAATATTTAGCAATTTTAGATAGTGCTAAACTAACCATAATTTTAATATCTATGTAATAGTTTAAGTTAAATACCAAGATTCCGAATTTTAGAAATTTGGTTATTGATTTCTTAAATAATTTCAATGCAAAAGGATCTTTTAGATTTATTTAGTAAAATCCTTCTTAATTTGTCAATTAACATTGTGATGTCATCTTTATTACGTTATAACATTTCTTAACTAAAAATAGTAGATTGAAACAAAATACATATATATTTATGGATTAGTTTATCGAATCCTACATTCCTCTTTAACTTTTTCTATTTCTGTTTTGAATGTATTTTTAATGTTGTTTATAAGCATATTGATTTTGGATTTATTTTGTTTAGAAAAAGCATTTGATCTTTTGATTAAATAGCCTTCATTAGTTGATTATTCGGTGTTGAATTTTTCATGAATATATTTGCTAGATTTATTTGTATGTGCAGTGGTTTATAGTACATCACATGTTCGTTCTGTTGTTTTGAGTCCACTTAGACGGGAAAGAGAAGGATTATTCTTAATTAGAAAGTATTGATAAAACATAAAATAAAATAATCATTAATCTAATGGAGATTAATTGGTTCTGAATCTCTTAAATTTTAATCTAAAATGAAGCATTTAGGATTAGTTTGAAAGCTGAACTTTTGGTTCTTAATAATTATAAAAATTGATGCTATTTTCATGTTTTTGGTTATTGTTCAAATTAGAAATATTTGATAATTCTTAATGCAAATAATTAGAGTACGCTTAATTAGTTTATAATTTGATTTAGACTTTAGCTAATTATTTTTTATGTTCTTTGATTTTTAAATCACAAGAAGAGATAATCTCTTAATTTTTTTTTAAGATAGGTTCTTAAATAGTGGTTGATCTGACAAATCTACTTAAATAGCGATGAGATGAAAGCTTTTATAGATTGGAGGCAGATTATTTTTTATAAGTTGATTCTTCTGAAGATGATTAACTATATTGATGAGTCAATTTAGGTAATTGGTAGTTTAATTTGATATCTTGATAAGGCTCTAACATAGAAGGTAAGGCGGAACGTTTAGGTCTCAAAAAGTAACGAGAATTCTAATCGATAGAAGTTGGTAGTTGATAAATATTTTTGATTTATTGCATAATTATATTCAATCTGATAATTGCATAAGTAAAGCAGTACCTCTTTTAATCCAGAAATCTTCTTCATTAGAAGCTTAACCTGGATTAGGTTTACAAGGTAACATAACATCAAATTGATATGAAGGTCTTTCCATAACTCCACAACGTACTTAATAATAATAAGTGGGACAAAGATAAAAGTTTTAACCTAAAAATTAAATGAAAATATTATACCTTTTTTTGATTTACTTTTACCTTCTTAACTTACAGGTTTAAATAGAACGATTGGCATTTAATCATGTAATTTCATAGGTTCAGCATCAACAATATAATTCTTTTCATCCCATTTAGCTCCTTCAAGAAATAGACCATGTATATATGCTCCATCTTTAGCTGCTTAAGGTTCAGATCCATGTGGTAAGAATGAAAATTCCCATCCAAATTAATCAATTGGAGTATTTACTTTTCTTGCACTCTATTATAATAAAGCAGTTGTAAATCCAGTTGGAAATGAGAATCCAGAAATCCAAAATACACTTGGTTATTATTTAATCCAATTTCTCAATTAGAGAACTCTTTTCTCAAGATCAATAATCCAACTTGACAATGGTTTTAGTGAGTGATAACAAAATTTCCATTATTAAGGTACCTTATTATCAAACAAACTGTGCATAATTGTTTCAAGATCCTCAGAAATTAATACTAAACCACTTAAACCTTTATCTAAATTAGTTAATGAAGTTCTAACTGTATTCAATAATTTATTATATCTTGATATTTCTTACATCAACACTATTTTTAATGGATTTTAATCACCAGGTCTTACTTTCTCAATAGCTTCTTACATATCAATTTCTTCTGGAACTTTACCCAATGTTTCTTAAATCAATTTTTAAACTTTAGTTTCCATCGATTCTTCACCTGCTTTTACTGATTAAGGCGATAAGGATATGATTGAATCAATTAGAGCATTAGTATCTGCTATCTAAGATGATATTTCAGCATTAATATGTTATCCAAATACTTCAGCTCTTTCTACAGGTGGAAAATCTTCTACTTTGCTTCTATAAAACAAAACATGATTGCTAATTTTATCATTCTTACTTTCTTTTGGTTTGAATTCCTCTGGTATATAATAATATTGAGAATTCTCTACTAATTTATATTTCTCTTCAAATATAATTTTATCTTAAAAGAAACTATTAGCATAAACCTTAAGTAATCTTTGATCATATTTATCTGTCACTCTACCTCCATAGATTACATCTGCAATCAAATATCTTATGGCATCCCAAGGAGGACTCTTCTAAACTGGTTAGTCTGATTATTATTATCCAAGTTATTATTATTATTATTGATTATGTTTACTATCATGTTATGTTTGATCAACATACATTAAAAGTATATTATCAGCTGTTTCCCAATCTGAATCATTGAAATCGTATATCACATTCCATCCTAGAGATTTAAATCTCTTACGTTCAATTATTAAACTATGGAACCAACAGAGTGAATACACTAATTTCATATAGTGTAATTAATTATTCAATTTCTATTATGAAAGAATTGATGGATCAAATTTAGATTAAGACATATTTGTGTACAATCTATTCATATTTGCCTTAACTCCTTTAGGTGGTTCAGTAGTCACTTTTAAGCATTTTTAAAGAATGCTAATAGGGAATTTAGGATGAGGAGCTGAACTTAACCATAATCTGAATTTCTCATTAGTGGCATCAGATTATCTTAAAGTTTCCATACATTTCTCTAATTCTTTCAAGAAGCTTAAACTCAAATGACAATTTGCCAAATAAACCCATAAGCCTGCCTTACTACCCTCGTATAATTTATCAATAGCTTTTTAAGCTTAACCTTAACCCAATGAAACAGGTAAAAGATTACAATCCTTCATCTTAGCAAATTACTCTAATTAATGATAAGGATCAACTCCTGGTGACAATATAAATATCACTGGCTTATTTTTAGTAGTGTCATTATAAATGGAATCATATGTTGTTGCAGGAGGTTAAGTATAGAATTATCCCAAAGTTGAATTAACAAATGCTTATGCTGCCAATAATACTCTATCAGGTCTAATAATTTTAAGTAATATCATCTTCTTAAGACTATCACATTTCTGATCCCATTCTCCTGGTAAAGAATCTGATTCAGGTGTTGGACTTAAATACCACTTTTTCCATTCTTTACCATTATGAGTGAAAGCATTAATAATACCAGTGAAATTCGGTAATTTATCCAAATCACATATAGCCTGCCATTATTATTCAGTCACCCAATCTGAAATCGGATTATGAGGTTAATTCTTTCTATCTGCATTTACATCTCCTCCTCTTAAAAAGAAATTGTATTCTTCTAAATCTATTGTAATCTAACTCTTCAATTCACTTGTAATGTTTACTGCCATCTATATTGCTAACAATAGTTTATCTTTCTCAAATAATCCTCTACATGCAGTCTTAAATATCTCTTCAGAATGTCTTGCTGCTATATCTGACAATTTCTCTTATAAAGAATCATTTATTGATGCTCCTCTACTTTAATATGTGTTAATATTCTCTCCAAATTATTCAATATAATTGGATAAGGCAAATTAATACATGTGATCTATAAGTGAAAAATCATTTAAAACAAAGAATAATTTTGATGCTATTCTCGCTAAAGAACGATAGTTTTCTCTCGCTGCAAAAGTTTTCTTCATTGAAACAGCAGAAGTTTCTATTTACTTTTTAACTTCTTCCTCAGTTTCTTTTGATTTGTCCAAAGTAACAATTAGATTTTCATCATCTATCAAACTTCCTTTAATTTCTTAAAGCATCTTCAAAATATCATCATCTAATTTACGTAAAGTAATCTCATTTTATGATTTTTTATTCACCAAATCATTTTTACTCTTTTCTAATTAAGCTTCCATTATTTAAATAACAACAGAAATCAATTATTCTTCAAGACCCTTTTATTTTACTGTGAAATTTACTAAAGTAACTCTTGTCTGAGTTTCAGCCTTATATTTTGGATTAGCTAATTTTGTAGTCATATAGAATCGGAAATTCGGATTGTACAAGATTTCTTTTTCTCCCATATACATCATTAATTTGTTATTGACAGTTCTTAATTGCTTATTCAAAACTGGTTCCAAAGATGGATCTAGCTCTTCTCCCATATTTTCAAGGATTACAATTTATCCAGCAGCAATAGCATTTTCAATGATACTCATCATTTTTTCATTTTATGGATCTAATTCTTTAAGATTATTTTTATTTATAGCTCTTTCCATATTTTTGATCCAGTTATTTGCTTAAACCTATGGATCAATCATCAATGGCCATCTTCTTCCTTAAGTTACTAAGACACCATTTTCTTTAGAAAATTGGTCATCTGGTAATCCTTATTAACTCCATTATAAAAATTAAACAGGTTTAACAAGAAAATCAGGGAAATTCCAATCTTTAGAATATGGTATTTTCAAATATCTAACTTATCCAATTAATTATTCAGTGACAAATTGTTGTCTATATTCAGATGGGAATGGGCCAGCATAACTTAAGAATGCAGCTGTCATTAAAGCATCACCAACCAAGACTTCTAATTTTCCTTATAATTCCTTTCTTCTAATAGCCCAACCTTCTTTAGTGCTTGCCAATCCAGAAATTAACTTTTCAGCTCTCCCCAATTTATTTTCTAGAACTACAGTTTCCCTAGAATACATTTCCATATCATCTTTGGCTCTTTATAAATCAGTTTTTAATTTTTCAATACTCTATTTCAAAATTTAGAAACTCTCTTGCAATTACTGGAATTCATCTTCACTCTTCTTTAATTTCTCTCTCAAATACTTAACTTTTGCTCTTTTAGGTTCAATATCTTTAAAAGCTTTTGCATACATTTCCAAAGATAAAACCCATCTCCATAAAGTACCTGATGCAACAGAAATAGCATCAATTTTAGATGGAAGCATTTCAGGATCACTAGTGATTTTTTCTATTCTAACTAATGTCTTATTCATAATATGATCCTTATCAACTTTTTTTAATTATTGTAAGAAATCTGGGGCTGTCATTTCTTTTTTGGCACTAGCCCAAGTTGCCTCCTTACCCATGATAATCATAACTGCTTATAACACATTATCTACACCATTAGGAGGTTTACTATAAGCTCTAACTTCTGCTAATTGTTACTTATCCAACTATTCTAATCCTTATTCAGCTGCTCTTAATGCAGGTTCTGCTTTCTCTAAATCTTTTTAAGCTTCTTCTGCTAGAGTTTCTACTTCTGCTTTTTCCTTTTCAACTTATGTTGATCTTGTTTCCACTTCAACTTATTTTTCATTTGCATCACGTGTTTCACCATCTATCTTAGTCATCAATTCTTCACAATCCTTACTTTTCTTTCCCAATTCAATTTGATAAATTGATAATTGTTTTTGTAATTCTTCGCTGTTTGCTGCTGCATCATCTAATTTTTACAATCCCAAAGTAAGTTTTCTAACTTCACCTCCTATTTCATTTTATTTCTTTTCCAACAAATCGTTATATCCTTTAACTAATTCAATATAGTTTGTTGGTGTAACATAGTAAATTCTTTTCAATTCTAGGAACATTCTATTACTTAAAGAAAGTACTTTAGTATGAGCAGTTCCGAAGAATTTAGCAATATTTGCAGTTAATTCATCATCTAACTTTAATTATAATAAATATCTATTTGCCACTTCGACCAAAGCTTATTCTGGCCATGGCATAAACCATATCATTGTAGTGTTATTAACTAAGCCTGGATACATACGACAATAGTTTCTTAGATTCTCTCCTGTTTTACTCATCAAGATCATAAGATGGAAGTTATTTTGAATTCTTGTGAAGAAATACTCAATCAGATCTTCCTCTTAGATTTTAGCATCTTTATCTAATTTATTGTCATCTCTGTAGTGTTTTCTAACTCTATCTTTAATCTAAGGATAATCTTCCTTTTAACTGAATAGATTAGGTACTTCGCCAACAGTAAGAATATTATTGATGTCTTCAATGAATCCTTCATTAGCAATTTGATTGTCACTAAAAATGAAAGTTCCAGAAATTCCTTTAAATCCAGCTTCTTCACACCATTTTTTAATGTCTTCTCTAAATTCTTTCATTCTATAATTCTTGCTAACTTCAATCTGCCAAGATTTATATTCAGCAATATGGGTTGCTAATTTTGTAAGTGAATGTCTTCCAGCACCTCCTTCACCAACAAGCATTCCATGTCCTTTACCCAAATTTATTATACGATTTATCTTACAAATATAATGAACTGCTTCTTAAAACAAAACAATATTCATTGCTTTTGATTTATTATCAGTATTAAATTGAACCAATTTCTCTTCTAAGAATTTCTTTAGATTTTCTCTGTCACTATAAGCAACCTCAATATATTTACCACCACTTTCTTCCATGAAATTAGCAAAAACTGTATCATCTTCATTTTCATTTGTACATTCCTTAATTGTAGTTTGTAAACATGAAATTAATTAATCATTAATTAATTATTTACATAATTGTCTATCTTCAACACTAATTAGTCTATCATGGAAAACTCTTAAACATTCATGTGCCCATAATCTAAGCACAGTCATTTTGTTATCACAATATAATCTGTCTAATTAGTAGACACCTTAAATAACTTTGGAAATATCTCTCATATTGAAAACATAATGAGATTTTGCTGGAGTAGGCAAGAAGTTATTAGTGACCATTTAAAATAAGTTGTAAGTAGCTTGAGCAATTGGCTCAATAAGTAATTTTATTTCATCTTCAAATTCTTGGAACTTATAAGCCAAAATTGATTAATAGATTCTCTTAACTTATTAGTCTGACAGCACTACAAAATTAATTACATGGAATTTATTTTGAATTCTAGTAGAAATTTCAGCTCTACCACCACCTGGAGGTCCCATTGCTGAGACAAATTAAATATCTAAAATAAACTTAAATAGCTCTCTATTGGTACGATCAAACCATCCTTCATAATCCATCCATTGACGAATTAGTTCAAGAGGTGGTTAACTGCCATAAATATCTTTTCTTGGCATATTGAGATCATCTATAAAAATGATCATTTTTTTTCCATCAGGTATCATTTTGTTCTTTGATCTTTTTACTAATTTGCTCTCAATCATTTCTTGAGTTTTCAATGATGAAGTCTATGCTGAAAATACAATATTCATTGTTGTATATTCAAACATCTAAAGTAAAACTCCATTTAACAAGACTGTTTTTCCAGTACCTGTTAATCCTACAGCCAAAACTGCATTTTTGTTACTTAGTAATCTTGTAATGATATTTTTATTTCTAACTTAATCTGTTGTAGGTACAAGCATTTTGTGATATGGACTATTATTTTCAGGTTTCCATTAACCAGTTCCCAATTTTTCATCCCAAGAAGCCCATTCATTTTTATCACTATTTACAAAGAAATCATAGACAGTATTTTGACTGGGAAAGATTAAATCTATGTCACGCATTTATTAATCAATAATACGACGACCATCTTCATCAACAGTTGCTCCTATACTCCATACCAATCCAAAAGTAAACCACTTTTCAAGGAGAGTCCAATAAACATCACTCTTATTTTGGATATCCATAGATAATTATTTTTCACTTTTGAAGAAACAATCCATTAAATTACAAAATGATATAATAACATTAGTTTCACTGCATGGAATGATCTCCTTACACCACTTTCTTTACTTAAAAAGTTTAGGAATCCATCTTTCTATAAATTCAAAAATAGTTTCTTAAACTAAAGGATCAGTCAATTTTTCAACCCAACTTTCAATATAAGGTCTCCATCCAAGATCATTTATATCTAAATAAACCATACCTGCTCTTGATACTGTAGCTGGAGAAGCGACTGCTAAATTTTCTACTTCAAAAATCAATCCCATCTATGGAGGAAGTGATATTCTATCACCATTCAAAAGTGTCAATACTTTATTGTCATCCAATACTGTATTCATTGATTCAATCCAAAGTGTATCAACTGGACCATCAAGAATCATCCATTTTTAATCATTTGTTTCATCTTTACATAAACGAGCCATCATTGATGATAATACTCCATCATTCCATTCCATTGTTGAATTCACATATCCAAATAATTCATTTATTGTTACTGCCTTTGGATTCAATACTTCAATCTTCACTTTAGGATATTTATTTGGTTCTCTTTCATTCAATTAATTTAAACAATTCTTTAACACTTTCCAGCATGTAGTCTTACCTGCTAAAGATTGACCTACAAGCATATTACCATGACGAGTATTCTTTGAATCATATAATTATATTATTTTATTAATGTGTTCCACTCTTGTTTATAGTTTCAAATTTCTCATCTAATTCTCTATCTCATTAAATAATATTTCATTTATTTATTCTTATAAATCAATATTTGGAAATAGATCGTTGAAAAGAGCATTAAATAATGGTACATCTTCAGATACGAATTTTGGAATATTCATGTCTCTTATCGCTCTCATCAAAATTTATGTCTCTTAATTTGCCTCATCCATCTCACTTTCCTTCTAATTTTCCCTAGTATTCTCATCCTACTTAACTTTCTGAACTTCATTCGATTTATCTCTTCTTATTTAACCAGCACAAGTCAAGACAGATTTTATTGCTCTCAAACCAAAATCATAATGATCTTGCTTAGACAATTACTGAATCATTAATCTATACAAGGTAACCATTTTTGTAGATAGTGCATGTCCAGTCTTGAATCCTTCTGATGTTAACATTATTTCACAAATTATTTCATTCTCTGGAACCATCATTGATATTGGTCGGAATAAAGATTTCAAGTTATCAGGTAACTCGGATCTTCCTGCATATCCTGGATTCATTGTTATGAAAATTGCAAATTAATCATTTATTGGAATTACATCTGAATCTAATTAAAATGATGATTTATCCTTATTCTTTTCAAATTCTTTCAATGCATTCATTATTTAACTCACTTGTTGAGCAACCACTGACAACACTTCCACTTCAATACGATTGAATTCATCAAAACAACCCCAACCACCAACTTATACTAATCCACTAAACATTCTACCAATACTTTTATAATCTAATCCTTCTGAACAGTTAAAGACCAATACAAATTTTGCCATATTCTTACCAAGATCTTTTACTGTTTCTGTTTTACCAGTACCAGCTGGTCCTTAAGGAGCACCACCCTTTTTCAAATGCATCGCTGTTGTCAAAGTCATATAACATCTATCTGTCAATGCAGTAACAACTAATCTTCCATTGTTACCTTAATATTCATAACCATAAGCAAAGTTACTATTAGCTTATTCAACTCTGCAATCAAAAGTATCATTAGTTGCAGTTCCAGTAAATCTTAATTATTTTAGCCATTCAAAAGAATGTGGTGATTAGCAATTTTTGGTTAGATGATCAATAATTTCTTTTTAATGTACTTCAATAGTAATTAAAGCAACTAATTTTAACCTATCAACTTCGTTGCTTGGTTTTCGAATTAATTTAGTAAGTTCTAAGATAAATGATTATTTTTCATCTTTAATGGCCTTCCAACCTCTATTCTTTTCTGGTCTTTCCGAATTATAGATTTAATTTAAGACATTTGCACAATCTCCTGACCATGTGAGTTAACTTGCAGTAATTAACAATTATCCTGGATGTTCTTTGACCCATTTATCAACCCAACGCATTCCTTCCTTCTTTTTAATAGTCTACATAGTAGAGAACAGTTCTTTTTTTAATACTTCTCTCATTGTTTTTTCAGCTTAACCAAGCCATTTTTCTAATTATGAATCACATATGACTTTTGTAGTGAATTTAACAACTTCTCCATCTGGAGCAACCATAGCTTAGACTTCATAAACATCTTATTTGGCTCTTCCAGTTTGATATTGTTAGGTAAGAATATCAAATTTTTTAATACCTTCAAAACACTTTTTGATATGTTTATTAACTTTAAAAACATCTTTAGAATTTCCCAATAATTCGAACAAGTCATCATTAGATAAGAAATAGAACCTGGGGAAATCCTTTCGTTATTTTTCTAACAATTAATATAGAATTTTTTGACTTTCATCCAATTTTTAATTCATTGTACATAATTCTTAATAGAAACCTTCATAAGATAAGGATCTCTTGACATTTTTATCATCATATATACGATTCATATGCTATGATAATTAAGAATTGATTGCTGCAAATTTATTAATATCTCCCATCAATTATTTTTCAGATTCTTTCTCTTGAGTGGCAAAAATAGCTTCTAAATATATCCATTATCTTTAAACTATGGATAACATTTCTAAAGTTTCTGAAATTTGTTATAAACAATTTTCCCATCTTTCAATTGTAGGTTTGAATGATTCATAAAAGGCAGTTGTTTTTTAAGCACTTAAGACTGCCATATGATCTTCTAAAATAGTGAAGATTTCTTCAGTTCTCTTAATTTTGTAAGTCTTTTTGAAAGTATCCATCTCTAATTCTAATTTAGCCCATCTTAAATCAATTTTATCTAAAGCATTTTCAATTTTGAATTCTTCTTTAGCAACTTCACATACATCTTTAACTGCATCACCATATGATAGTAAATTCAATTTAAATATTTCAGCCATATTGAAATCTTTACTGTCAGGTTCAATATTTGTTCCCAAATGTTATCTTAATTTATCCCAATGTCTATCTCTCATATATTATTCTCTCAACATAATTATTAAGGGAAGTGTTTGTTTAAATTAATCAATAGTTTATTTCATATGATTAACAATTTCCCATTTTTATTATTCTCTAGGTAAACCTTTCAATTTTCTCAAATAATCATCTCCAATTTCATCAAGATTATCACAATTAACATCTCTAAATGCTGTACTTCCAATATCTTTTATAAATTGATCCCATTCCTCTTTAGTATGCCATATGTATGATAATTGTGCGATTTCTTTTTCCATGAATTCTAAATCAGGAGATGGAACATAATTAAATTTAAATAAATCGAAACCAAATTTCATAGATTCCTCTTTTTTACGATATTGTTTAACTTATTCAGAATATTCATTTAAATTAAGTAAAGCCTTTTCATGAGGCATGTTAGTAGCTTAATATGGAGCATTACTTTAAAATACAATTTTATAATCTCCAGTTTCTTTAATGAATTCATCTAAATTCTTTTAGGTTTCTAAATATAAATTATTGTGGACTTTGCGATTTCTTTCTTAAATTCTATCTAACATTACATTAAAATTAGCCCAAGTATTTCTGAGATTGTTTTTTCTGCTAATATCATCATCTTTTAATTATATAGAGTATTCTTCTAATAATTTAAATTTATCTTCTAGAGGTCCTAATTTAGCTTCAATTGATGGTCGATCTTCATTCAATTTATTCCATAGATCACTACTCTTCTTTAATTATTATAAATCTTGTGGTATAATATCTAGATTGGTTTCTGATGTTTAGAAGAGTGAGTATAATTGATTTAAATCTTGTAATGCTTTATCCTAAGTAGCATTTAGGAAGGCATTCTACCAAGAGATCATAATATCAATTAAAGTTGATTTAATAGAAGTATTATCTAATATAATACAATCTTAGGTTTTTGTAGTTTCCAATTATTGGATTTCACCTTAATGTAAATCAAAGGTTTCCAATTATGTTTTAATATTAGTAATAGGATCATTCCTATTAATCATATCTTTGATGAATTTCTCTTTTTGATTTGCTTATTACCAATACCAATCATAACGTTTCCATTAACCATGAGCATCTACTGAATTTAAAGCATCACACGTCTTACTCAATTTACTATTAATTTTTTATATTAAACCATCACTATCATTTTTAATCTTGATATTTTATTCATTATCAAGGCTTTTTACTTAAATTTAAGTTTCTTATTCCATTTATTACACTTAAGAGATTTCACTCAATCTTCTAATATTTTAAGCTTATGGATTCTTTGAGTCTTTTGAATTTAATAAGATTGCTTCATCTAATTTCTTTTTTCTTTCTTCCTTCATTACTTCATCCATACTCTTAAAGTCTTTCATAATTTCTCTCATATATTCACATGTTTATGAGACCATCTATTTCAAATAAGTTGTTGATGGACGATATTCTTATTATTAATTTTCTAATTCTACTGATAACTTAAAAATAGGAACTGGTGTAATTTTACCATCTTCAGAACCAATTACTTTTTATAAATCAATTAATGAATTCTTAACTGCTTTTTCATAACTCTCTTTTATTTTAAAATCTATAAATTTAACTTATTTTAACCATACTGTTTGTACTTCTACTCTATCAAATAGAAATGGATCATAAGTTTCTGATAAAATCTTTCTTATTTCATCAAATATTTATTTTAACTTTTAATACATATCTCTTCTATGTTTCTCTTATTCTTCTTCAAATGATTTATGATCATATTATTTTTTACGATCAATTTTAATCAATAATTTATTTGCAATTTCATTACATTTTCCATCAATCTTATCCATATTTGTTTTAAACATTTTTAATTTTAAAAACATTTCTTAACATGCTCTACGACAATCTCTAACTTAACTATCAATAATAGTTTTTGCACTCCATCTTAAACGTGAAGCTAATGGTTAAATTACTTTATTAACTGCTTCTAGATGTTAAGCAAATAATTTCTTCTCAGTTTCTGTCATATAATCTATTATATTATTGTATTCTCTAACTACTAACATTACTAATTCTCTTAAAACTCTTAAACTCTCTTTATGATTCTAAGTAAAATCATTTGCATAACTTGGAATCACTACACCTACCGCTATTAATTTCTGCCATGCTGATGTCTCATGTAATAATTTTAATAATTGTCTATCAAAATTGCTTTCTAAATGTCCAATCTTTGGTCTCAAAGAATCTTTCTTATATTAAAAATCTGGATGTTTCTCATCTGTTCTCAATAATACTTATTTATCTAATCTAGTTGTTAATACTATATCTTCAAGATCCTTTGAATCTTCCTTCCATTCTTTTAATCTAGATTCTATAATAAATTGTTTTAAATTTGATGATAATTATTCGAACTTCTCTATTGCTGTTCTTTTTATTGAATCATCAATAAAATACATCTAATCAACCCAATATCTCATTCTCATTATTCTATGACTTAAAGAATTTACCCATATTGCCTATCCAGAAAATGAGCCATGTTACAAAGGATAATATTGAATCTTTTTAATATTATCAAATTCATGTTTTGTTGCATCAATTTCTTAAATAAACAATTCTAAAACTACAATTGCTTTATTTTAAACTACTCTCTTTATTGATTATCTCTTAGCTAATTAATCAAATGCCTCTAATAATTCAACTCCTTATTAAACAGTTGTCATGCTCTCAAATGCATTATTTATTATATTAGTATACATAACATCCAAATCCTTAACTCCATTACGAAAAGCATTGAAAACATCATGCCATTTAGAAGCTTTCACATCTAAGATTTTATCTTTATCAGTCTTACGAATATCTCTTATTGGTTTCAAATGTTTTGCAAAACTATCTTTAATTTATTCCAAATTATCTTCAATTTCTTATCCTTTACTTCCTCCAAATTATGGAATGTGACTACCTGCTCCTTTTCTAGCAAACTATAATTAACCCTCACAAATTTCTAATAATTCCTTACAACGAGAAATAAAAGCATCTACTTAAGCAAAAATAGAATTATTAAAATCCCACTTTGGTCCTTTAGTTAATGTTGATTATTTTTCTATTGCTACTGACATTCTCTAATATATCTTTTTCCATTATTCACCACATTCAATTGAATCATTCAAATCCTAAATACATTTTTCCACATCACCATCCAACATATCATTAATATTAATACTAGATTTACATCTCTTTATAATTTCATTTGAAATCTTATGTATCAATCCTTAAATTCTTTCTGGAGTATTAAAGTATCTTGATTTCTCCCAAATATATCTTACTCTAAATAATAGATTAGGCAATAATTCTGGAATCTCTTTTGGTGTTGCTGTTTCCAATTGTTTACAAGGTTCATACAAAATTTTTAAATTTTCCAAATTATCTTCAGCTTAACTTGATCCCAATTTAATATTCTCAGTAACATCCTTAAAACTTTAAACATATTAACTATCACTAAGAATTTAGATTATTCTCTTTAATTCTGGTTTTTCTAATTATTCATGAATATGTGATAAATTATTTTTTCTTTATCTCCAATAAGCAATTTCATCAAGAGGACCTGCATTCTCATTCTCAATTGCTAATTCTTAATTATTAACTATATCTTTTATTTGTCTCTACCAATGTAATAATATTGCTTCCAATCTCTATAATAAATCTTTATCATGAGAAGCTTATTCAATATTATTCAAATCTTCATTTGGTATATACAATTCTGTTATTCCTTCTTGACTAAATGAATATTCAGTCAAAGTTGCCATAAATTTATGTAATTAAGCCAAGAACTCTTTTTTTACATTTTCAGGCCAAGTTGAATCCTAAATAAATTAAGGAATGAACTATGCATTCATTTATTTCAATAATGATTTCAAATAATTAATTTTTATCACACCATCACTTACATACTCAGTAACATTATCATTACCTATAATTACTTCTTATGGATGTGGCAGTTTCAAAAAATATACAAAGTCTGGATCTAATGCATCTGGTTCTAATCTAGGTGGATCCATCTCACTCATTTGAATTCCTTATTCAGTCATCCAAGCAAATAAATTTGCTTATCCATGTTTGCACATGAAATTGACTGATAAAATTTCATTAGGATCTTTTTACCATTTTTCATCATCATAAGAATCCAAGTATTCTGACAACTTGTTTCTCACATAAAATCCACCGAAATCTTAATATTATCAATACTATACCATTGACACTAGCTGGCTACAGTTATAATAAAACTGTAGATTTTCTCTTATGAATCTTTCTTTTTATCACTCTTGTTTTAGGTGGATCATCTGTATCTCCTCTAGCTACTGCATCCTATTTCATTTACTCCCATTCTTCCTCAGGAATTACTTCTTCAAAATCCTCAGACACTTGACTAGCATGGTCAGGAGATCCTCTATCCAATTTTGGAGATTCTGGCTGACGAGGCGATGACTAATCAGGTAAATCTATAGGATCAAGCTGAGGAGATTGCATTGGGGATTGTTATTCCTCATTCTAATCCATTTTTTTTAAATTAAATAATGATTTTATTTCCATCAAAAAAATACTTGTAAAGGGGATTTCTTATCAATGTATTAAACTAATGAATCTTATATAATGTGATTAATTAAATCTTTTTTGTTTTGTGCTTATACATACTTAATACATTCAATATATATTAATTTATTTTTCCTTAATTACTAATTTTAATCAAATATCATTTAATCACAAGCTCTTCAAAAATTGCTTTGTAAATTTGATGTAAAATTTATTTGTGGATTAAAATATTTATAATTAGTATTTTGAATTTCAAAAAAAAAAACTGATATATTCAATAAAATAAAGATATAATCGACAATCAAAATTAACAGAATTTTAATCAATAAATCAGAAAAATTTTAGTATTTTTTGCCTTGAAGCTTTTTTAACAAAAATAAAGTATATTCTTTATTTTCTTTACAACCTTATCTCATTTTTTATGAATTTTTGAATATTAATATAATTAAATTAGATTTGTATTAAAGTTTGTTATTGTTAAATAACTTTAAATTTTCATGAGAGCAAGAGAATTGAGCATAAAAAAGTTAAGATGATTGGTAGAAGAGATAAAAATATCAGTAGGAATATATATTAAATTATAATTGAGTATTAATATTAATTAAAATGTATCTAAATAACTCAGAATTTTATAGTGGAAGTGGTTATAAACAGTCAGGATTTCTAAAAAAATGGAAGGAGAAACTTTTGGTGTTTGATCAAAAATCTAAGGTAGTTAATGATGAAATTTTAGATTTTATAAATATAAGATGCTAAGAGTCAAACTCAAAAATAAATAGATATTTAAAATTACAACATTAAAAAGCTAGGAAAGTATTAAGAGAAATGGTCATTAAAATTATCAACAGGATCAAATGATTTGAAATTGGGGTGGAATAGTGAAAAAGATTGTTAGCAATGGATTGATTGTTTTACAGGTGAATGGAAAAAAAAATAAGAACACCTAAGATTTTTAGAGGAGTTTGATAAATCTCAACCTGAAGTTGAACCAGTTATAGAAAAATAACCGTTAGTTTTTAGACCAAAACCAAGCTTAATGTCTCGTGATAAAATAGAAAATATGATTCCTCATTTACCATAATTTATTTAAGTAAAGAAAAAGAATAAATAAATAGAAAGATATGGAGATTTTATTATAAAATACCCTAGAGCATTTGGATGGATTTAGCGATATATAAAATTTTAAGCAAATTTTAGATTAAGAGAATGCTAAATTGTATTAAGACCCAAACGATAATTTGCATATGAAATTAGTTTATTATTCTAAAATAGAACCTAGAAGAATTTATGATGTAAATATGCAAATAATTTATTAAAGGAACATGTAATGCCATCCACATAAAGTTGGTTACCTGATGTAATTAAGCAATTTTAAGTATTTCCAACTAAGAAAGGATGTAGTTTGGTATATTTAGAATTTGAGTTTAAAGATTATGAAATTCGTAGATAGCATAGTATTTAAGATGAAGAAATCTAAGAATAAGAAGAATAGAATCCTTGTTAATTTAATTTATCTCATTCATTAAATTAAAATGAATAGGAGGAGAAAAATAAAATAAGAATAGTTTTTACTTAAAAAGGATTTGAGAAGGATGGTATCTATTGTATATTTCGTAAATATACAGGATAAGAAATGTATCATGATTAAATTGATAAGAACTTAGCAAATTAATTAGATAAGTATAAAATTGTTAGATCAGCTCTGGTTGTTTAGCCATCAAAGTAATAAAATTGATATCATTTAGCAAACAGGAATTTAAAAGTTTACTAATTGAAGAGATCTATGTAGATTGTAAAGATTAGGATGCTGGTGAAAAATTATTAAAAATCTTATTGTTAAATATTACATCTTCAGATAGAAATTTGATACAAATTCAATAAGAAATATAATTGATTACAGAGAATGTGGAAGTTAAGAACTTAGAACGATTTGAAACAATGTAGATATCAATAAAATTAACTGAATCTGAGATACAAAGGATAACTTCTGAATAACATTAGATTTAATCAAAGGAAGAGTTTTAAAAATTAATTGAAAAGGTGGGGAATGGAGAATATATATTAGATGCAATAACATAGTATTCAGATTAACAAATTATTTCTGGTTTAGAAAAGTAACTACAGACTAATGATGAAGAAGGTCATTTTTTATATACTAAATTCTATAGAGTAGATACTAATAAAGGAGGTTTAACTTATCATAATGAAAAATTATTGAAAGATTAAAGATCTGTTCTATTAAATATGATTAAAAGAATGGGAGCTAATCTTATTTAAGGAAAGTCTGTAATGTCTGTATCTTTGCCTATATAAATATTTGAAAGTAGATCATTTTTAGAGAGAATGGCTAGAGCACAAGGACATGCACCATTATTTTTAGAATCTGCAGCAAAATCTAATGATCCTTTTTTTCAAATGAAATAAACAATTGCATTTCATATGGCAAGTTTTATGATGGGAATTTAGTAAGAAAAACCATTCAATCCAATAATAGGAGAAACATTTTAAGGTAGAATACTTGGATGCCCAATTTATTTGGAGTAGACATCTCATCATCCACCTATTTCGAATTATATTATGTTTGGAAGAGATTATAAATTATATGGATCTTTTAGTCCTATAGTTAATATGGGTTATAATAGTCTCTCAGGAGAATAACATGGTCATTCCATTGTACATTTTCAAAATACTAATTTAAAATTTTATTACATTAATTAACCATTTACAGTTTATAATATTATTACAGGATAGAGAAATGTTAATTGTCATAAACGTAGTTTTTGCTTTTAACCTGAGCTTTAATTATGTGCTGTGATCTAATTTAACCCTAAGGATGAAAATAAAAGCTTTTTTTCAAGATAAATCACTCCAATTGATCATTTCTTGGGGAAGATTTGCAAAGTATCTCCTATGTGTATATAACGATGCAAAATGGCACATAAAACTGGATCTGGATTAAATTTGAAACTAAAAATTAATAAAGAAGAAATCCTAGAAACTTATGATTAAATTAGTGGAAGATGGACATCTCATTTAGACATCAACAGCTAAAGATTTTGGGATATTAATATACATAGGTATTTACTATTATTAATCTACTTAATGATAGACCCTATGTGTTAGAATTGGAGTCAAGACCTTTGCCTTCAGATTGCTTATATAGATTAGATTTATTACTCATGAAAATGTAGGATATACAAAGAGCACAAGAAATGAAAGAGAAAATGGAAGTAGACTAAAGAAAGGATCAAAAATTAAGATTAAAAAGATGAATCATTTTATGGATAAATTAAATTTATACACTTCTCACTAATGTTTTAAAAAATATTACATATTTTATCTTCTTTCTGACAATTATTAAATAATTCTTAATATTTAATATGATAATTAAAGCCCTTCTATTAAACAACTTCCTAAATTTTTGCAAATAATGAAAAATTCATATTGTGAGATATTAATATTTTAAGTTGATAAAATTTAATAACGTATTGACCTGTTTATATATAAAATATATACTATTGTGGATAACTAAGTGGTACTATAATACCAATTTCTATTTATTAGTCATCCTTAGCCAATACCATTTTGTAACAATCATGAAGATGTTCAGCTTGGCCTTCGAATCTATAATTTAATTGAATATATGATTATAAGGTTTTATCTTCAACTAATAAGGTAGTGTCTTTGTTTTATTTGTAAATTAAGCTTTCTCCTAAACAAAACTTGTACCAAAATGGAATATCATCATTAATTTAAGAATTACCAAAATATTTTAATTAATATCTTTATTCGAAATTCAAACCTGGAAAATTTGTTAACAGCTCATTTTTCTATAATTTTTACAATTAAATTTTAATTAATTAGATATTGTATATTCTTTTCTATAATTATTAGTAGAATTCTTATGCACTCAATTCAAATCCTGTTAATAATTTAGCCCATCTAAATGTCATATATTTAGTATTAATATTAATTTCTTCATCACTCTTAGCATTTACAAATATTGGTTCTCCAGGATCTCCTTAAAATAATCCACAAAAGAGTTCTTCTGATGTTATTTAATTTTTTCTATCCACTTAAAATACAATTTTATCCAATGTTGTAAAATATCTAATACTAAAAGAAAAAGGGTATATATTTTCATAAAATTATTCCTATTTAACTCCCAAATAATTTAATGCAATTTCATCATAAATTCCTTATTCTAATGTTACTTTCAATTCAAATTATGATTATTTATAAATACTATCTGCAATTGGATGTGAAATAATCTCTAATTTTATGAATTTAGTTTATAATTTTTAATAAATTTAATGTAATGGTAAAGGTAATTGTTAAAAAAATTCTTATTATGATGGAAGTGCTAAATGAGGAATTTCAAATATATTTAATGCAGGTAATAGATTTGATTGTGTTTACTTTAGTAAATCTGGCAATACTTGAAAATATTGAGATTTCTTTTATTCATAATGTTATTATAGATGTTCAAATTCATTTGTAATTTCTTCATACTTTTTCTTTTTTTCTCTTCTAACTTCTAATTCTATTTCTAATTTATGTAAGATTTCTTTATTATGATCTAATGGATTTTTATCCTCTAAATCAAGTTGTTTTTTGATTTGATTATAATTATTTGTCTATAATGCTTTAAATTGTCCTATTTACAATTGCAATTAGGTTTTAGAATATTTCAAACATTCAGAATTGATTGTCTATTTATCTAATTAGTCTTTTTCTAATTAATTTGTTCTTCTATTTCCCTCAATACTTCTATATAATTCTCGATGAGTTTTTCTTAAATCAGTTAGTAATTAATAATCAATACTATCATTTCTTTTACCTGTTGCTTTGCTTACATTATCTTTCATTTAATCAATCAATTTTTAGATTTTTAATTGTTATTCCATTTTTTATTTTAATTAATAATGGCAAGATTAATAGGTAATTCCAATATTAAGATCAGAAATCCTCTCTTAAAATTATGTTAACCAATTGCTTCCATATCTAAATTGATTGCACTCAAAATAGTGTTTGTTGATGATGTTTCAAATCATTACACTATTAATTGCAAGAAAGTAAATTATTTTTACACTCAAGGAAAATAAATTAAGATTGAAAAATTGATGGAAAAAGAGTTAAATCAATATTCTGATTTAAATTAACTTAAAAATCCTAAATATTATTTTTATGATTTAAATGGTAATTAGATTACCATGTATGATCAATCTATTGAAACCTATCTTGTTAGTACAAAAGATAATAATCATTGGTTATATGATAAGAAATATGAGAAACTTTTATATTAAATAATTCAAATGGACACAAGTATTATAAGCAATAATTTATCTGATGATAAATCAAGAAAACCTTCCATAACAAATTCAAATTAACAAATTACAAATAATAATCCTTATGATCACTTAATTCCGTAGAGTAGTTTTAGATCTCGAATACTATAGAAAGGAATATAAGATTTAGAAAATGTTTATGATAATTTTAAAATGACAAGTCGCCAAAATTCAGATCCGTTTATAATAACTAATTGTAAATTTAAAACAACTCATTAATCATTCAGTTCTTAAAACAAAGCATCAAATTTATCGTATAATAAAACTAATGCTCCTAATTCTACTTCTAGACATTATTTAACTGAACAAGAATAGTATTTTATCGATAATATGTAAAAATGTTAAGATGAGTTAGATAATTTCATTAATAAATTAAAATCAAATTTATCAAAAGAAAATGAAGAAATTGAAAAGATAATTCGATTTTATGAAAACGTTCTTTATCCAACACCAAAAAGTAGAGCTCTTGAAATGAAATAAATATCTACTTCAAGTCTAATTAGCACAAAATTAACTAAGATATTAGGAAAGTAATATCCAGCAGATACTTAAACACCAAAAGCTTATGTTCCTTAAGAAAAGAAAATGTTACACAAAATACCACCCTTATTACATCTAAATATACCTTCTTTATAAGCTAAATATAGATTAAATAGAAGTTAGCTTTATGCTTTTTTTTCACTTTATAAAGTATTGCATCTTATTTCAGGATATATGAAAATAAAAAGTAAATAATTATAAGTTGAAGGAATTACTTATGAAGTCTATAGAAATGGAATTGAAACTATTTAGGATTAAGCAGAAAATATGGCAAGGGGAATATTTGATATAATAGATAGTCGTTGTTCAGGTTTTTTAGATTGGGGATAATTTTTATATTTAATGAGTTCAGTATAAGCTAAAACAAGAGATCAAAGGATTGATTTATTTATTAAAATAGCAGATTCAAATAAGGATGGCTAACTATCTTATTAAGAAGTTGTTAGATTGAGTTAATAAACATTATAGAAGTTCATTAAAAATGGAAATAGAGAATTTTTGGATGAAATGTCATAATTTTTCTCCAAAATTATTTTTGATTCTGTTGGAGTAGATTATCAATAAGAAATTCAATTTAATTAGCTAAAAGAAGTAATAAATTAAGGACATCCTAATTCAGACTTATTATGTATGTTTTGTGGAGCAGACTCTTGATTCTTTTGCTTTTTGTTATTTATTTTATTAAAATGACTAATTAATGCACCAATTACTTTCTTAGACATTTTCAACATCAACACAATCATAATGAGAGTTATCTTATTGGATAAAAAATTAAAATATATGTTATTTTTCTCTTGTGATTTTAGTTTCATTCATCAGATGAGATTTAATTGGNCATTCAGTTCTTAAAACAAAGCATCAAATTTATCGTATAATAAAACTAATGCTCCTAATTCTACTTCTAGACATTATTTAACTGAACAAGAATAGTATTTTATCGATAATATGTAAAAATGTTAAGATGAGTTAGATAATTTCATTAATAAATTAAAATCAAATTTATCAAAAGAAAATGAAGAAATTGAAAAGATAATTCGATTTTATGAAAACGTTCTTTATCCAACACCAAAAAGTAGAGCTCTTGAAATGAAATAAATATCTACTTCAAGTCTAATTAGCACAAAATTAACTAAGATATTAGGAAAGTAATATCCAGCAGATACTTAAACACCAAAAGCTTATGTTCCTTAAGAAAAGAAAATGTTACACAAAATACCACCCTTATTACATCTAAATATACCTTCTTTATAAGCTAAATATAGATTAAATAGAAGTTAGCTTTATGCTTTTTTTTCACTTTATAAAGTATTGCATCTTATTTCAGGATATATGAAAATAAAAAGTAAATAATTATAAGTTGAAGGAATTACTTATGAAGTCTATAGAAATGGAATTGAAACTATTTAGGATTAAGCAGAAAATATGGCAAGGGGAATATTTGATATAATAGATAGTCGTTGTTCAGGTTTTTTAGATTGGGGATAATTTTTATATTTAATGAGTTCAGTATAAGCTAAAACAAGAGATCAAAGGATTGATTTATTTATTAAAATAGCAGATTCAAATAAGGATGGCTAACTATCTTATTAAGAAGTTGTTAGATTGAGTTAATAAACATTATAGAAGTTCATTAAAAATGGAAATAGAGAATTTTTGGATGAAATGTCATAATTTTTCTCCAAAATTATTTTTGATTCTGTTGGAGTAGATTATCAATAAGAAATTCAATTTAATTAGCTAAAAGAAGTAATAAATTAAGGACATCCTAATTCAGACTTATTATGTATGTTTTGTGGAGCAGACTCTTGATTCTTTTGCTTTTTGTTATTTATTTTATTAAAATGACTAATTAATGCACCAATTACTTTCTTAGACATTTTCAACATCAACACAATCATAATGAGAGTTATCTTATTGGATAAAAAATTAAAATATATGTTATTTTTCTCTTGTGATTTTAGTTTCATTCATCAGATGAGATTTAATTGGTACAATCATTAAATTTAATTCTTCAATATTATGTAAACAAATGTTATTGCTTGAGTCTGTTTCAGATTTTATACAAGTATTAATCTGGATAGGATTAATTTCAAGTGTCAACAATAGGTATAGCTAATTATTAGATTTTAGTCATTTTAATTAACTAATTAGATTTCAATATAAATTTGAAATTGATAAGATCTTCAAAATAATATTTGATAATGACTTCAGCTTCTTCTGGTCGGAGGTTTTTAATGATTTTCTTATTTAATTGTTTGATCTAGTTGATTTATAATAAAATGTGTTGTAATGAAATGATTTTATTGGTATTAATGGAGTTTGTCAAAATATTTTAATTGTTGAATTATGATTTGTATTGTCTATGAAAATGTATTGATTGGCAATTTTGTTTCGGATTAGTTTGATTAGATGTTTGTGAGATAAATATATCGAGTTAGATATCATGCATTAAATTAATTAATGGACTTTGAAGTAAATGAATCGTTGGAAGGAGATAAGAAGGGACATATATTGTTGACATTAAATGGATAGGCAGATGCAGAAATAATAAAATATAGGTTCTTCAAAGTATGAGTGTGATGTAATTGATGAAAGGGTCAGATAAGAATGTAAGAGATAAAGAGGAAAATAGAGAAGCATTTTAAGATGAGAATAGCATGGTTGAGAGTATATACTCAATAGGGAATAGAGATATTTGAGGAGGATTTACCATATATAAAGGATGGAACATTACTTTATGTGTCTGATAGTATGAATATAAAATAAAATGGTTAGGCATAGAATTTGATGCATATTGTTAGATTAGTGTATATTAGATAATGAGAGTATTAGGAGAGGGTGGATTTGGAAAGGTTATGTTAGGTAGACATAAGATAACAGGTGAGTAGGTAGCAATAAAGTTAATTGATTCTGGTAAATTATGGAATGCAGAGGATATAGATTTAGTATTTAGAGAGGCAGAAGTAATGAAGAACCTTAGACATAATAATATAGTGAGAATATTAAATTGTTATACTCTTCCGAATATGTAAGTTGTTTTGATAATGGAGTTTTTATAAGGAGGAGATTTAGTGGAATATTTATAAGGTAATGACCTAATATAATATTAGAGAAGGGAGTACTGTCGGAATCAGAGGCTAGAATCATTTTTAGATAGATTGCAGAAGCTATTCGATATTGTCATGATAAAAGATTAATACATAGAGATTTGAAACTAGAAAATATACTGTTGACATCAAAGGTTGACAAAGTTATTAAAATAATTGATTTTGGTATAGCAACTGTTTCAACTAATTTCACAATTGATAAAGTAGATAGAGGATCATTAAGTTATATGCCACCAGAATTGATAAGTGGTTCAACTCTTGAGATTAAGCCATCTATTGATATATGGTCTCTAGGTGTAATCTTATATGCATTAGTGTGTGGTAATCTACCATTCACTAATAAAAATGATGATTAGACTATTGACAATATCTTAAAGTGTAATTATTCATATCCCCCAACTCTTATTCTCAGTAAAGAATATAAGGATCTATTAAATAATATGCTTAATCCTGATCCTACACTTAGATATTCAGCATATTAAATTATTAGACATCCTTGGATGTAAAAAGTTATTACTTAATCTCCATCTAATTTACTTACTCCTAAAACTGTTATTCCTAAAAAATTTATTAAAAAAGAAATTACTATGGCTGGACCATCTAATAAAAATTAATAATAATAAATTTAACTTAGAGCAGGACTCACTATGCTTAAACCAACTATTGTTCAATCACCTTCTAATGTTTCAACCATTCCTATCATTTATGAATTCTCTAATCGTTATCAATAAGTATCTCTCATTTATTATCTATTAGAAATAAGATGAACCATAATCACCACCTTCCTCTTTTCTAGATAATTGTACTAATCGTTCTATCCAAGAAACTATTCAAAATTCTAATCAAGAACAATAACCTATACCAAAAACAAATCCTGTTCGAAAATATTCAGATTTCAATTAAAAACTTATAGATCGTATATTTCGAGAAGATTCGAAAAGATAAAAAATTAAAAAATGGAAAAGCTAATCGCCAACACTTAAAGCATCTCCTAAAAAATAATAATAATTATAAGGTTCTCTAATTTAATGTACTAATTGTCATTTCAACTCTGCTCGAACTGCTAATACTTCTCCTTATACTATTTCAAGATCTACTCTTCATACTCCTAATTTATTCAGTTCCAGATAATCATCTGAAAATAAAAAAAAATCCAATGATAAACTTGAAATCCAAACCATTATTAATCTAAGTTAAAGATTAGAATTAAAATAACTCTACTCTAATTCTATCACACCAAAAAATAATATCTAAAGTAGACCTTCTAATATATCTCCAACTAAAGCTGATATGCTTTATAAATTATAAATTTAGTTTAAATAAAGAAAAATAAACAATGAAATCTTGTTATAAAAATAACTCTATGAAAACAACAAAGAAATGACAATTTAGAAATTGTGTAATATCATATTTTCATCCAGGATTAGAGTTGCTAATAAATGAATCAATTTTGTGAATTAACATTATTATTATCATAAAAAAAGAAAGTATCACATTTGTATTATCAAATTTATATATCCTAGTATCAATGTAGAATCTAATATGCTTGAGACATTTATAGTTTACGGTTCTGTATTTAAATACTGGCAAATCGTTTTAAATTATATTCTGTCTTACAAGTGCTCTTACTTGGTTAGGCTGATTTATGTTCTGATAATGAACAAAGATTCTTATTTCTTATAAATTATTATATTGGTCGTTTTAAAAAATTGTCGAAATTGATTTGAGAAGGAGTTTTCTAAATTGATTTATAAAATGGACTATGTATTTCAGATCTAGATTCATTTTAAAATCGATGCCACATTTATAATGCATCATTTTAATAAAATTATGGAAGTGATATTAATGTTGATTATCCTGAATGTTTTCTTAATTTTGCTATTGATATTCTTGGTTTGGAAATTCTCTTACTATTCTTTTAGTGTTATGTTCTCAATTTCTTTAATTTAAAGAAAGTTAAAACAAGTTAAACTGCTCTTACATATATCTTAAATCGATATATTATTTATTTATGTCTAAACTATTTCACATAGAACAATCCTTAACAAACTAATCTACGCCATTTACTTCCATATAAACCATGGATCTTTTCATCACAACTCTATGATCTTTGATTCTTTTATCTATTTCTGTATTTTTATTTTGTAATTTATATTTGACTCTTTCCCATTAAATCAGGTATTAACAATGGTCTCATTTAAATTCTCCATGTTTTTTCAATGTATTGTTTTTGGGTTTCATTTGTTATAAGAAATTCATTTGATTTTAAGTGAAGTTTTTTATAATATAAAGGTCCTTTTAATCTGGGACTTGTATCTTAAAACACTAAAAGAGGACATTGAGATTTTATATGTTCACTTTTTACATTATCCATTTAATTGTTTAAAAGTGTAGACTAAGAAATAAATTATAATATATATTTATAAAATAATTGAAAAATGAGTGATATATTTTAAGGAAATAGAAGTGGAATCTCTTAAGGAAGTTAATTTGATGCGTAATATCTATAATATTGAATTTTAGATTAGGTGCAAGTTTTGGTAGAATTCTTCCACATGATAAACAAAGTATTGGATCAAATAATGGTGGAGGCAGCTTTGCATAAGTTCCTGTTTCATTTTTAGTATAACCAGATTAATACAGATCATCTGTGGGTTCAGAGGAAGTTGTTGCTCCAATTTAAATATATGAATATTAAGAACCTAGTAATTAAAAAGGAATCTTTTTTAGAAGCAGTGGAGATTTTGAAATGCAATTTGAAGAAATTAGAATTGATAGATTGAATATTGATTAACAATAAAAAGTTGAAAATAATCCATAATTAATACCAAATAATAGTTAAAGGTCATCTAATGACTTTGAAATGAAAATATGTAATGTTCTATAATTAATATAGAATCTGCATAATAAATCAGTACAAATTTTAAACCAGAAATTAATTAGATGATCAATCCAAATATTATTGAAGAAAATAAAAATCTTTTTAATGTTAATATTTCAAAGAGCATTTATACAAATAAAATAACATAACTTGTTGAATAAACATAATAGAAATTAATCCAATCATCCAAGAATTAAACACACACTCATCTATCGTAATTTTTAATCATCCATCTTATAGAAAAAGCCAATAAAAATTATAAAGAAAATCACCTAATTTATAAAGAGATCATTCAGATTTGTCATCAGATTTTAATTAGCAAAATAGTAATGATCCTAATTAAGATCCAATATAATAAAAATTGGCTAAAAATAGAGAATCTGCAAGAAATTCTAGGGCAAGAAAGAAAATTTATTATGAATTATTGGAAGTAAAAGCTTAGGAATTATAAAATGAAGTGGATTCATTAAAATAATAGATTCAAAATTAATAAAAGTATACTGAAATTTGTAATAAATCTTAAGAAAAAGTAATTTATTCTAGGATTATTAGTTTTAAATGTTCTTAGAATAATAATAATTATTATTTGATAAACTTGAAACATACTTAATAAAAAATAAAGATAATGTAGAAATAGGGATGATTTTAGATGCTCTAAGATATAGAACAAATTCAAATAGTTAAGAAAGAAATGATGCAGCAAGGAACTATTTTGATTAAATGGTAGAAGTTTGTCTACCTATTCAAACTAGATACTTGATTTATGCATTGGAAAAAAATAAGGATTTTTTTGCTTTATAACCAAAGTATATATATTTTTTGAATTCAATACCAGTGATTATTCTGATTGGATGGTTGATTCTTTTTAGAAGACAGATATCAAGCCTGAGTAAATAGTGAAAGTAAAAAAAATGAAAGCTAAATTATAAAGTGTTAGAAATAATATATCAGAGTAATAAATTAATAATTATTAACAATAGTTCAATTCATAAAATAAAAGAATAATTAAAATTAATTTAGAGTGAAGCGTTGAAAGTAGATTAAATGTGGGAATAATTGAAAGAATGTTTATCACCAATCTAATTAGGATCATGTATATTGGCAATGAGATAAGTAAAATATAGTAATAAATAATAAGAATTAATACCGATAAGAATTATAAACATCATCCTTATTTATATAACTGAAGAATTCACAAATGGTATTAAATTCATAATGTATTATATTAGTCAGATGAAGATGATATATAAAGTAATCATGAATAATTTACTATTTCAAAAAATAGAAAATTAATAAAAAAATCATAGAGCTGATAAATTAATATACATATTGATAATTTTACTAATTAATTAAAATCAAAATTATTAGAATTTTTAAAGTGCATCTATCCAATATTTTTTTAATTAATATTTTGTTAATTATCAATAGCAAGATATTAATTAATGTTTATATAATTAATAATTCTTTATTATAACATTTCTAAACTAATAAACTAAGTTTTATATAATAAGCAAAATTGTATCAAAATCATTTCTTTGTTTGTCCAAAGTGGGAACAACTTTTCGGTTTGAGAATAGATTAGATAGGACTGCAAGAATATTTTGGAGAAAGAGCAGGAGATTGATTAGGAGAGGAGATTCCATTCTATGAGAAATAATAGATTTAGTTTTATGTGCTGAATCTAAGTTGTTTCATTTTTAATCTAAATCTTGATTCATTGTCTCTATTTTCGTTGTTATTTTTTGTAATTGGAGATTAAACCTCTTAATCAGAATCTGGTAAAATCAAATCTTCTTGATCACCCTTTGTTTTTATAATTTTTTGTATTAGAATCATTTGCTAAGGTACATTGCTCATATGTGTTTCAAATCTGATGCTTTAAATTAATTATTGATTATACTATATTTACAAAAAAAACAGTTTTAATAGATGAGTAGGAGTAATGAGGAATTGATTGATTATAAGTTTAACAAAGGATTCAGGACCTTATATGTCGTCATTAAAATTAATTTATTTAATAATGTTTGATGGATGTTTCTGTTAGATAAATTAGATATTTGAATCAATATGTGAGTACTTGAGTAAAGTAGCTAAAGGCCATTAAAATCTTTAATGTGAAAACAAGACTTTTTTATAGTTTATGAAGATAACCTTCTTTAAAATTTATATTTAAAAATAGTAGGAACATTAATAGTAAAACTGAAAATGAAAAGATTATTGGGAAATTATATCAATTAGTTAGAAAATCATTTGTAAGAAAATATAAGAGGCATATATATATACAGAGATAAAGTAATTGAGGAGATCATTTAAACAAAAATCAAAAATTAAATTGTATTGATAAGCGAATGGACATACATTTTATTAATTTGAAGAATTGATTGATAGAATAACTATATGTAAAGAGAAATGTGATTATTTAGGGGAAGAAAGTTGAGATTTCACAAATATCTGAATTCATAAGAGAGAAAGTAAAATAGTGATAAAAATAGCACTAAAAAATTGAAATTAAATTGATAATAAATAGGTAAGTTAAACTAATGATTGATAAGTACTTAAAATTCTATGAAGGCATAGTTATCAAATAATTATTTTAATGAATTTTTGAGAAATCATTTATTAATTTTAGTTCATTGAAATTAAGTTCATAAGAGTCTGATTAATTTAATTAGACTGTAAATTAGAAGGTTTAAATTATGTGATATAATTGAAGAATATTTTAGTATAAATAAATTAATAAAATGAGAGTGATAAATTTTGGAATGATATTGTAAGAGATTAAATGAATAAAATAATCATAAAGGATTATTAATAAATATATGAATATATTTATAAAATAATAATTATATATATAGATAATCATACAAAGTATTCTTTATTTGGGTTGTAATAAATTATATTAAAAAGTACTGTTGATTAAATTGTTTTGTATTTTTGAATTATTAATCATAATCAGATTAAATATAATGTAGGATGAATATGAAGATGGAGAAGGAAACTTTTAAGAAGATTAGAACGATGAAGATTATGATCAATTTAACTAAATTGATTAAATGGATGCTCAATAATTTGATAGTTGTAAGATTTAAATGTCATTATTATAAGCATAAAAAGACAAGAATTAATAAGATTAAAACTATGGGAATTATTCTGGTGATTAATAGAGATAAATTGCAGATAAAATATCTGAAGATTTAGAAGAAAAACTTAAAATGTTAGATGAGTATTCTAAAGATAAAAGTGAAGAGTAAATTTTAAATATAAGAATGCATTAATTAGCATTAGCAAAAGTAATTAAAAATAGATTAATTAGATACTTGTATTTACTCATGGTAAAGGATAATTTAAATTAGTTAAAGCACATACAAATATAGGTGAAGCATATCTTAATTATAAATGTTATGAATAAGCTATTGATCATTTAACTTTAGCATTAAAAAAGAATGCTAAATTATTTAATGAAGAATCAGAAAGTAAAAGTTTTAATGCAATCATATTAACCTTACTTGGAAAATGTTATTTAGAAATAAATAGTTATGAAGAATCTTTAGATTTGTTGAAGAAGGCTTATGAAACATAATGTTAAATTTATGGTGATGAAACTGAACATTCAATTTAAACATTAACATTAATGTCTAATTGTCATACGTAATACTATTTAATAAATTGTGTAGAAAAATGAAAGATTTTGATTAAAGTGAAGATTGTATTACTAAAGTATTTGCTATTACTGAGGCTAAATATGGATATAAATCTGAATAGAGTGCTATCTCATATATTGAAAAATCTAAAATTTATGCTTGTTAAGAAAGTTGGAAAGATGCTATCTAATGTTTATCAAGTGCTATTGATATGCTTATTGAAATTAATTATCAGAAAACTGAATATGTTGCTGAATTATATTAATAATTATCTACATATTACGAAAAAATTCAACAAATTGATGAATAAATTGCATCTCTATCTAAAGTTAAGTAAATCTATATTGAATTGTATACAACTTCAGATAAAAAGGTTATCAAAATTAAAAGATAAATAGCCATCATTTAATTAAAATAAGAAAAACATTAAGATGCCTTAGCTGAACTTTATGAAACTGAAGATTTAGAAGTTAAAGTATATGGAGAAGGAAGTGTCTAAGTAGCTAAAACATAAAAGATTATTGGTAATTTTTATATTCATTTTTTAAAGGAACTATCTTATTGTTAGTCTAAGAATTTAGAGATGCTTTGAATTATTTCTAGAAAAGTTTAAAAACATTTGAAGAAAATGGAATGAAGAAAGCTGTTGCTGAAGTTAAATAGAAGATTAAATGTGCTAAAGAAATGAAAGAGAAAGGCAAGGCATAATTTAATCTTAAAGATAGACAAAATTTAATGTCTGATTATTGATTTAATTTAATCATTATCAGAAAGATTTTATTATAATTATTCAAATATTTAAATTTTACATTATTTTATACGAATACTTTTAAAATTAATATAAAATTGATCATGACTTTGTTTATATAATATTAAATAATTCAAACAAAAGAAAGAATTTATAATTCTTTTATAATTTTTATATTTAAATGTGAGCATCAATCAAACTATAATGAATAATTTAAATGAACAAAACTTTAGCAATGAGAACTTCAATAAAGAAATCAATAAATTTGAATGCGCTTCTATTTTTTATTTTTTAAAGAGCTGAATTTTTCACTTCAAGATATATAGGTTTTCATCCAAACAAAGTGGAATTTTATAAATTAATTAGATCAATTTATAGAATGCTCTTAATACCAGATGATTGGTTAAGAAAATAATAGGATATTTCAGATTAGACATTATTATATTTTATTGTTCATTTGAAATTTGGAAAAAAGAATATTCATCCTTTATAAGAAAAGGCATATTAGAAGCTTTAAATTTTATTAAAATATTAATAATGAGAAATTATAATAATAATTATTATTTAAAATATGTTTAAATAAGTTATATGAAAAATGAGAGAGAATCTTAAACTTTATTTTGTGAAGCATTTAAGTTATAATTATAAATTTGGATAAGTAAATTTTATATTCAATTAATAATAATTGATTAATTTTTATTACATCCACAAAATTGATTATACCATCAAATACTAATTATATTTAAAAAAATTATAGTTTTTATGAATTATTTACTAATTTTGTTGAAAATTTTCCAATACATTTACTTGGCTTAAATGTGATATTTAAAAATTATTTATCATATATATATATATATACATATATTAAAATACAAATCTTGAAAAGCTTCAATCTTTCAATAGAAATTGACTTAGTTCATTAAAATATACATCATAAAAGATTCAAAAATTTACTGCTAATTTTTTTGTGAGTTTGAATATATTAACACAAATTTTAATTTATTTTCTTCTATTTATTATTCATATTATAAAATACCTAAGAATAGTTTGGGTATTAATGAATATAGTTTTTAATTTACTTAATAAAAATAGTTGTTAAAAAATATTATTATAAGAAATAGAAAGACACAATAAATAAATAACAAAATTTATCATTAATTATCTAATCAAAATTGTAAAATTCAATTAACTACTAAAGTGCTACTTGTACTTTTGGTATTTTTAAATTAAGTTTAGATATTTTAATCATAGCTATATCCATAAAATAAATCTTAAAATATATATTTATATAATTTTTACTTTAAACAGAATTCTTTTTTAATAATAATCTATTTTCTACAATTTATTCATCTTAAGTATCATTATCATCACTAATATTATTAATATAATCTAGATTTTCTTGTATTGGCTAATAAAATAAAATTGTTAATATACAGGAGGTATGAAAGGAGATTAGATCTCTTTATTGAGTAATTTAGTCCATGGGAAATTTTGAATCCATGGATGTGATTTAACTTCATTAGGTCCATTAAATCCAAGTCTATTAATAGGTTTACGTTATATTAATTTATTAATGAAATCAGCGGCATCAATAGACCAATCATCAGGCAACTCACTTCTTTTAACTTAGATTTGTCTAGTTAGAATTTAATCTCTAATTTCTTATCTTGTTCTTCCATTATATGGTCTTCTACCTAACATAAATTCATAAGTCATAATTCCTAAAGCAAAATAATCAACAGCAATGGTATGATTTTATCTACACATAACTTCAGGTGCTATATATAATAATAATATACAATTATACCCATATATCCTGGTGTTCCACTTGTATCTTATGAATTTTCAGATTTCCATATTCTTGCTATTCCTAAATCAGTTAATCTAGCATAACCATTATTATCAAGTACAATGTTTTCTGGTTTAACATCTCTATGAATAACATTTGAATTATGTAAGTATTCTAATGCTAAAATAACACAAGCAACAAAAAATTTAGTTTAATGTTCTTTAAATCTTCTTAAACGTCCTATATGATATCTAAGATCACCTCCAGTTAAAAGATCCATTACTAAATATAAATTATCTCTATCTTAAAAACAGTAATTCATATTAATCAAAAAAGGATGTTTAAATTATGCTAATAAATTCCTTTCATTCATAACAGAATTTACACTTCTTTTAGCAATTATTTTAGCTTTAGACATCTCTTTCATTGCAAATTAAGTTCTACTTTTTTTTAATTCAACTTTCCACACTCTTCCGAATCCTCCTTTTCCTATTACAAAATGAAAAGCAAAACTAGACTTTGTTACACATATTTATGTATCTATCTATAATTCTTCATCTTCTTATTCATCCTTATACACTTTTTTTATTGCTGGACGTGCTTAAGACTATTATTATTAAATTGAATCATATTTCACAAGCAAAGAATTAAAGATGCTCTCAAAATTTTAAATATTCGCTTTTATTTTTGTTGTAGAACTCACCTATGGTATTTTTATATGTGGAACTTCATTTAAATTGATTTTTAGGTTAGCACTAGCAAATTTATTATGATTTGATAGTTTTTGTGATGTTTATCTATTCAAATTCAATGAATCTTCATTTTCAAAAATCTTTTTCGAATCTATTGTAGATTGCTTTGGAGATTTTTATATTGATAATTGCATTGGACTTTTTGATCTTGATCTATTACTATCTTTACTAAAAAAACTGTGTTAAGGATTTTTGTAAGGTAATGCATATTCATTAATGTTTACTTAAGCTATTCTTATTTTGTTTGGGGTATGTACTGGAGTATGATTTCTTTGTTATTTGTCTTCAGCATTCTTTTTTTATGCGTATTGAATAAAGTTGCCAACAGCTATTGGAGATTTTCCTATTCGTAATCTATCTGAAGGAAAATTAGAAAATGGTTTAGAGTATTTAGAAGAAAAGAGTTCTCGTAGATTGCGATGGTGGTTAGACATTTTTAATTATTTTAATACATCTTCTTAAATTCATATTACTAAACAAAATGTAAAAATGCTATATGATAATGAATATATCTAATTTCAATCGTTCATCTTAACATTTTTATCTATTTGACTATCATTTATTATAACAGAATTATCCTCTATACATTCCTGATGATTCTTAAGTGTAAAACTTACTATTAATTCATCTTAAGTGTATCCTATTGTTTATAATTCATGAGTTATTTTTATTAACTTTTCCATACTTGGAAAATTAGTAATTTTACCATCATTTGCTTTCATCTTGATTGCTAACTTTTTATCTTTCATTGATGAATTTATTTAAATATCAAGAAAATTCAAACATTTATATCGTATTGTCTATTTTCTCTATTGTTTAGACTAGACTTTTTTATTTTTGTCTAATAATTTTTATTCTATAATTGGATTCTCCTGTATTTAAAATAATGCAAATTGCAGAGCCTTTTATTATAGAAATTCTTAATCATATCTTTCACCTGTTGTAATAAACAAATTATAATCCTCTACTAATTCTGGATAATTGACTTCCATGTAGTTTTTGTCTTCCACAACATAATTATTACCATAAGAAACCAAATAAGTATTTTTGTTGTCTTCATTTTCTTTAATTATTCTGTTCGGTATTCGTGCATCAACTATAATTTAATTATTTCTCTATCTTTTTTGTGCCATTATTATACTCAATAATTACTTATTTAATAGATTTATTACTATTAGTGTCTTTGCTAAAATATTTACTATTTTTTAAAATTCATTCCAAAAATTATACCAAATACATTTATCAAATTAACAATCTCATTACATTAATTCTTTTTGCTAGCAATAATTGAAATTTCATTATACCTTATACTTTCATCAATTTATGAATATTGAATAACTTCAAAACATTTCAATTCATTACTAAATTCAGGTTCAATATGCTTTACTAATTAATAATTATTATTTTATAATTATGAGATTAATATATATATTCAAATCATATTTATAAGTTTGAATTGAGCCCTTCTCTATGGTAAAAGAGATTTTCTCATTTTTTCTTGATTGATGGCAGCTAAAATACATGAATCATTATTCTGGTTATCCAAACTACTGAATCTTTGAGTTTTATTAATTTTAGGTGTATTTGTTTAAGACCTATGCTTTTTCTATATTTGTTAGGTGTTAATGTCTATATCTAAAAATGATTCAAATTTTTTATTTAGAGTAATTAAATTTTAATTATTGAATCTCTTAGTATTATAAGGAGTTAAATTTCTTTATTTCTTATCACTAAGTCTGTAAGTATTTTTTTTAACAAATAATTCTTCATCAATTATTCGTGGTTTTAATTTTTAATTGTTTGGGCTTTCTTTTTATTAAGAATTGTTGCCACCAAGTAAATTAGTATTATTGTTTTTTAAAATTGATTTCTCTTATTTCATAAATTTTGTACAAATCGAATAAACAATCTAAGGAGTTTATTAAATTAGGCATCTAGCCCAAGAAACTTTTCTTTTGGTTCTATTTAAAGTTTTGGGTTATAATTTCATAAAAATTTGATCATCTTAATTTTTTTGTACAGAATTTAAGTAAGTGTTTTGCAATAGTGTCTACTCTTGATCATTAGATATTTAATTCCAATTTCGACTGATTACAAACTAGCTAAGCTCTTTCTTTTCAAAATCAATGAGTTATTTTAAAAAACTTGCTCTTATTTCAAAATCCTTTTTCTAAATATTTATGTATTGAAGAACTTTGAACAAGCTCCATTTATATCTTGACCTATAAATATATAAAAATTACCTATACATAAGATAGCCTATTAAGGCTGTCAATGATCGACTTTAACCATTAAGACAGCAAAATAAAGCACTTTCTCCTTGTTTTATAGCTCTTTCTACAAAGGTCGTAATCTAAATTAGGTTTTCGATAGTAATAATTATCTAGGTATATTAATGATATACTTAATTATCTTCATCTTTCCAATGATAGTTTAACACTTTTAAATTAGGAGGAGCTTTAATTTCTTAAGCTGAACAATTTACTATATGAGTTATTTGGTTAATATTTAGATATTATTCTTCCTAAGACATGGTATTATACTATACTTGTAATGGAATATAATTTCCAATAAATATTCCATCTAAAATTCGAGAAGAAATAGTACTACTCATTTGTCTCAAATTAAGTGAATTAATAAACATTTATTAATGTTCATTAAAATTAAAAATTATGTTAAATGATAGAGGACTATGAAATCTTTTAATTTAATAAGTAATTTTTAATGTTAATTAAGTTGTATAGCATGTTAGAATAATAAGGTCTACTAAAAGAATTTTTTTAATAATCATAATAAATATCTCATCTTCGATCTAGTTAATTTATTCCAGATTAATAATTACTATATTAATTAAAAATTGCTTTTTAATATAAATTCTAATACATGATTCCATTCTCTTTTTGTATAGTTCAAGGATTTATAACTTATTATCAAGTCTGGTATCTACAATTACATAAAATTAAATGTTATTATCCAAAATCTATGCTATTTTTTTTTCGTGTATAATAAAGTGATTGAATTAAATTGTCTTCTTTTTTAAATTTTATGAAAGTATTCTAATTGATATTTAATACTTGAAATATAAAACTGACATTACCATAGTCCTTAATTTAATCAACCATTATCTTTAACAGTTAACTTTTGAGATTTGATAGCAATTATACTTAATAATCAATGAGTTTCCTAATTATTTAGTAGTATAGATACATTTCATATACCATATTTCCATAAAAAATCCCAAAGAATTATAATCCTTTTTTCCTTTTTTTGATTTTGATCAAATTTAATTACTTCATTAAACTTATTTAAAAATTAGAAGTACTTTTAAATTATGAAATTTTGGCTACCTTTTAGTTTTAATCTTAAATAATATATTTTAAATTTATTATAACTCATCTTATGTCAGCTTTTTAGTTTAAAAATAATAATTCTCAATGAGATTAGTTTTATAAAATTGCTTTAATTTTTTATTCTAAACCATTGTCTCATTTTTATATAATTCATAGGCTTTCAAAGAATCTTTCCCTTTTAAAACAGTTTAGATAAAATTATTTCATTTATAATATTTTTTGGTTATTTAAAGTTCATGCAATTGCTGATGAAGTTTGAATATATTCTATTGAATCAGCTAAGTTTCCTAATTGTTTTAGTTTCATGATTATCTTAAGATATTCTTCTAAATTCAAATATATAAAAGTTATTAAAAAATCTTTTGAAGATAAATAGATACTATATTTTTTATCAATCGTCTATTGTATATACATGTTCTACTTCTTTAAGGAATTAGACCTTCATTTCTTTTCCTCTAAAATAGTCATTCTTACAAAAGACTTATATATACATTGATTAAAATAAATATATTGAGATATATATCAATTTAATCGTAATTTTAAACTGTTGTACCATACATAAGTCTCTTCTAATAAACTAATTAAATTCTAACTATCACTATGTTGTGTAATATTTCAAATAAATTTACTATAATGACTTTATTCAATAATAAGTTTAATTAATCCAGTTTATCAAAATAATTGAATACTATTAGAATTATCTAAAAAATTTAGGGTTAATGTCTTAATTTTCAAGAATAAAATTTAACATATTTCCAAAAGAAATTCTAGAATCCAATAATCTTGTATTTACAAATTTAATTAATCACATTATTTTTAATTAAATATATTATTAAATCTAAATTTTCGATAATGATAAACGTTCAATTCTGATAATGAAATGCTTTTAAAACTAAACTATTTATATTATGATAAATTTCAAGTCAAATTTTATAGAGTATATTAATAATTTCAAAATTTTTATTAACGATTAATTTTAACTTCCTTTATGTCTGTAATTAAAGGCTTTGTTAATAATGCACCAGGATTTAATTATTTAATATTTTTCGAGACTATTAAATGAATATATAATAAAATTACTATCTGATTTTTTATGTTGAATTTCCTTCATAAATTATATTATTTCAACATTTGGTTCAATTCCATAATTTCTTAATTAAATTAATTGATTATACTTTTCAGATCTTCTTCCGAAATCAGTGTGATGAGATTCTTCTGATTTTAGTAAATCTGATTATTTCCTTGAGTTTTATTAATTCATAAAACCGAATAGTCTAGTATATATATAAAATTACTATTTAGACTTTTTTTTCTCTCTTTTTGGAGAAATTTGCCTTAAACAATGATTAGTTTCTTTTAGTTTCTATTATTCTAAAGAGAATAATAAACTACCATAAGATTTAGAGCTGTCTTATTATAGATTGTTTAATTTTTCATTTAAAGCCAATTTGAATTTTTAGGTAGCTCTACCATCAGGAGATGATATTGAATATGATTCCTTTCTAAGAATTCTATTAATTATATTAGAATAATTGATGTCATCTGACTTTATAGAGATCAATTCTCCAACAGATGTAGAATTCTTAGTACTATATTAATAGAAATAATTCTTACTGCATTTTCTATAATTAAACATCTTCTTGAAATTATTACGTATTTTTTGATATCTTTTAATTTAATTACTTTTATTAAATAATTTAGGCACATTTAGATAATGGAGATATCATAGCAGATCTATATTATATATGTTTTATTACAAATTTACTATATTTTTACTATCATCTGGATTATTTATTCTAATATTCTATGGTTATTTTTATTAAGTAAATAGACTTGTTCTACTATCTTTACTTAATGATTATGCTCTATTCTATGATTACGGTTAAGGAGAATTATTTTATTAGGAAATTTTTGCTGGATCTAGAGATAATAGATTATTATTTGTTAATTATAAAATCTTTGAAGTTTCGAATAATTCAATCTAATAACTTTTAGTTTAAAATGTACATTATTTTATAACAATATGATTTCATATTAAAGACGTGCATTTTCTTAGCATTTTTAATTTAATTTTTCAATTAAATATTAAATCTTTTCATTATATGTCAATTTAATTGATACATTATCATTTATATCAAACATTAAATTTTTATCTCCACTTTATCTTTTTGATAAAATATCTATTTGAGATTATAAAATCAATTTATCAGAATTCAATGTTTCAGTTTATTATTTTTATTCAATCAATTACTATTCTAAATATTAATTATTTTCAAATAACTGTTTCATTTATTATTAAAATTGTATTTAAATCTAAATTTTTTCTTTATTAAGCTAAGTAATTTATTTTCTTAAATCATCATCAATAGTATTCTTATTTTCTGATAAAGATTAATTTTTTAAAACAGTCTATTCAGAATTACTTTGATTTTTATTGTTGTTCTAAATGTCTTGATTGATACATAACTATTTCTTTACTATATATTTTAATTAATCATTTACAATTGTTGAAACCGTTCACTTTCGATGGAAAACAGAATTTAGTTGTATTTTTATTTTATGGAGCTGGGGGTTCTGCCATTGTATCTTAGTAACTTTATTATTTATCAGCTCTTTAATTAATAGTGTCTGATATTATGCTTTAAGGATTAAATTCATAAAATTGCATATATGTTATTTATTAATTTTCTTCGCTTTGCTAACTATGTATTTTTGATTTGCCCTATTACTCCCTAGAATCAATTGATTGATATTATTCTGACAATTTAGATTCATGTCTTTATTATTAATCAATATAGATTAACTATGAATTATGAGTTTGAGATTATTTTGACAAGTTCATGTTTTGATTGTCTTAATCAGGAATATTGCTACAAAATTCTTCAAAAGTATCTAATTCTGGAATCTTATATAATTATATTAGAATTTACCTCATTCTCTACAATAATTTCTTATTGTAAGTATTGTAAATTGGATGGAGTTGGATATTTGAATGAAGGTTACATCTACTTTTTTTAATTTAAATTGCTATAATTGTTTGATTAATATAAACAAATATATTTCAGTATATTAAAATACAAATAAACATAGATTTCATTTACACATACGACAGTGGAATTCATTTTAATTATATTTGCCATTAATAATACCTACACATTCAAAATGATACCAATTTTTACATTAATCACACTAGATATAAAATAATTAATTACTTATATATATTATCGATCGGGATTCACCGGTTAAATGCAAAAGCAAATTTGCTATAATGCATCTATATTAGTAAATTATTTTTTGTAAATATCCCATTCCAATCTATTAAAATAAATAGTGGATTCAATTTCTTCTAATTCTTAATATTGATTACAAGTCAATATTTAACATCTAGCAATTATACTCTAAGCTAAAATATACTCTTAATGGTTGGTAATAAATAATTCTTGTTCAGAAATCCATTCTGAACATTTAGGTTAAGATTTGATGATCTCACTTTTTCTCATATACCATTAAATTCTACATAAACATATCAATTTAGCTGTTGTTGGTTCTTTTATTGATAATATTTATTTTATGGTTCCAACATAATCCTCATCACATTGATCTCCACTATTAATTAAAACTGAATCCCCAACACTCAGTACCTATCCCTAAACCTTAATTGTATCATATTCTTCATATAATCCTTTTATTTATGAACCAACTTTCACTAATGTTTTCCATTACTTTTCTTTGTAAAGTTCTCTAATTGTCTATCGTTTCTATAATCTCTTTCGAATTTCCTTTTTTATTGTTGCAGAACTCTCTGGTGAATGTCTTTTCATTATTCTACTGTACTCTGCCCCTTAGATAAATTACTAAGATTTTAACATTTTTTATTTAAATTTCTACAAATTGCGTAAATTTCTCAATTCGATTTATAATAATTTAATATCAATTAATTACTCTATATGCAATTTCTCCTCATTCTCGATCTTATACCTTAACTCTTAAATTAATTTTATATTAACTTACAATTCAATACTACACTAAAATTCTTATATTATATTTATATTCCATTTAATATTTCTTAATCAATAGAATACTTAATTCATACATACAAAGACATTTATTATTATCTTATATTTACAAATCCTTTTTTCGATAAAATATTCAACATACATATAATTTATTAATTTTAGATTATTTATAATTTTTATATTAATATTAATTTTAATATTTATATTAATATTCAATCTTAATATTTATATTAATATTCAAACTTAATATAAATATATTTATTAATCTCAAATATTTACAAAATATAATTAATTTTATGATGAATCAAATATACTTATTTATAGATTGAATAGGTCTTTTAATAATAAAAACTATTATAGATTTTTATTCAAATTATTATATTTGAGGGGATTCATTTTATTGGGTTTAGAGTGATATTTATATAAAACAGATGTGCAGCAATGGAATTAGGTATTTCTATTTTGATGATATGACTTGGATAGAATAAAATATCTAGATTAAAATTTAAAATAGGATTAAACTATATTTATTGATCTACTAGAATACATATTATTATTTATGAGTAAGCAATTATATTCTAATAAATATTTAATCGGAACGAATGATGGAATTATTATCATGAAAAAAATAATATGGAAATTGCTGAATAACATTTTTATTAGTTGAAGATATTCTAACTAATAAAGAAATCATAGAACTGTATAAAGAATGAAATAAAAATACTTATAGTATATTAATAAATGATAATAATCACTATCATATATAATCATAAGAAATTATGAATAAATCTATTTCTATAAATCTAAAGTTTGGCATTTAAATAAAAATTAATAAACATAAATCATACTTTATTTCATTCTCACTCCTAATTATTTGTTTACTTCTTCAATTATTGGTATTTTTTATATACAATTTAGAATATATATAATAAAAAATAATTACAAAATATGTCATATTATTATAAATAATTAAATTTAAATTTAACAGATAATATTTTAATTATTAATTAAAAATAGAAATTCATATTTTTAAGATTTTAGAAATTATAATAAAATTAATGAATTCATTAAATAAATAACAAGATAATATTAAGGATTAAATTTTTTTTAAATCAAGACTAGACTTCATAATGAAAGAACCAAATTCACCTTATTTAAACTATAATAATATACTCTTAAATTTTAATAGTTTTAGTATAATAATTAAGAATAAACTAAAATATAAGGAATAGGATTGGATAACTTGAATAAAGATATTAAAAAATTTATAAGAAAGGGAGAAAACTTTGAGCCAAATAATTGAAAAAAATAAAGTTGAATCCATTCAATCAATGAACAAAATTTTATAAAATAAAAATTAAAAATTCAATTTTCAATCAAAAATAAATTAGTATAGAAGAATATATAAAGATTTGTATGGTTTTTAAATAAAATTTGTAAATGGAATAATTCTGATAAATAATATTACTAATATATTGGTATTTGTATGTAGTAATTATTTTGTTATTAAAAGGATTAATTTGAATTAGAATATTTGGTTTAGTCTTAAAACATAAATAAGATTATAAAAAAATATGTAGATTAAATGGAACTTGATCCTAAATGGATTCTTTTTCAACGTAAGTCATGGTATTATTGGAAGTAATTTAAATCTATATACACACAAAAGAAGGAATTGAGGATTATTTTAAAGATACCGAATATTTAATATTCTAATTTATTTGAAATGATATTAATATTATATATGTTCATCAGTTATTTATATAAAATAGATATTCAGATTTATTTCTTTCCTGTCAGTTAATAAAATTACTTAAATAAAACACTTATATCACAGAATTCTAGTGATTCTTAAGATTGATCATTAATCTATTTATAATCTTTGAGAAATCCCCTTATCTTTACAGAATGTTGGATTTTTATGAAATTTTATATATCTTTTATATTATTATCAAGCATCTAATCATCTTTAGTTTGTTCTTCATAGTTATAAATAAATCTTTTTTTTTATAAACATAATTCATATTTTTCTATTATGCAATTAGCTTCCATTATATAATTTAAAGCTTTTTTTAATAATTAGTTTCTATCATTATTTACATGAAATTATTATAATTAATTTTATTGCAAATATATATTCTTTGATTATTCTTTTTATTCTTTTAATCTCATTGAATATCTTTTTAGGTTATAAGCTTTAATTATTATTATAAGTAAATATAAAATTGTAAAAGATTAATGATTTTATTAAAAAGTTATTTCCAAATGTTTAAGTTCTGCCTTTTAAGGTATTTTTTAACAAAGATTGTTAACATTCTCTTCAAAATCTTTATATTTTTTTTTTAAATAGTTTTCTTAATAATTAGACTAACGCATTCCATCAATTTGTCCTTTAAATTCTATTAAATTAAAATTTAATTCTTCGATAGATTTTTGTATTTCCATCCAACTTTTTTATTTTCGTTGCTCTTCTTCTAAGTTTGAGAATTTAATTTAATTTTTGTATTTCTCAATTACTTCTATCATTTTAATTAATTCTTTAGACTTCACTTGAGTTCTCTGCTATAATTCTGCTAATTTAGAAATGGAATCCTTGTTTTAAAATTAAAAAGTAATTGTTTACAATTTTTTTTTTAATTCTTAACTTACATTTTAGTTTTATTCAGACATAGTAAGATAACTTTTAATCATTTCTAATAACTCATTAAACTAATTTTGGCTTTATTATTGGTTATTAACTATATAATCATAATTATAATTTTTGATATCAAGACCTAAAAATTCCTGAGAACTTGAATTTAATTTTTATTTTAAATTCTTCAAAGCTTCTTAAATCTATTAATAATCCTTTTCTGTTTAAGATTCATTTTTAGATAAAGTTTATTAATATAATCTATCTAACTCGATTATTTATTAATTTTATTCTTATTTTTTTTTTTCTATTTCAACTTGAAACTGATTACATTCTTCTTTTATTTAATTAATTATTTTTTAAGATTCTTAAGTATGATTAGTCTTTTATGAAAATTCATCAAACTTTTCTTTAGCTTGTTGCATTAAATCATTTAATTCCTTCTCTTTTTAATCTAAAAGATTGTTAATCTATTCATTTTTAAATAGGCTGCATTAATTTTTTAAAGAATTCAATTAAACTATAAGTTCTTTCATTGATCCTTGAAATTATGAAGATTTACTCTATACATCCATCAAAAAATCAATTTATTTCTGTGTAATTATTTTTAGTTAAGTGTCTTTTTGTTAATTTTCTAATAATTACTTTGTTAAAATTTTTACACTATCTATCTCTTATTAAAAACAATTCTTAATTTAAATGTAATTACTGATTGATAGTTCATTTTAACTTAATGAGGTTAATTATTGTTTTAACTATTAAATTTTATTCTTTTTCTCTTCTAATTAGTTATATATAATATCATTTTGATTTTCATCTTAAAATTTCATACTATTTTTAATTTTGTAATTTATTTCATAAATCTAATCATCCATTTAATTCATATAATAACACTTCTCTTATTTTAATTCTTATTCTTAAACTATGAGTAAATCATTTAATTCTTGAATTCTTTCTCTAAATAGTTCTAATAAATGTTAAATGTCTTATTATTATATGTAAATAAAATTGAGTAAGACTCCAGAAATACAATTCTCTTCTCCTTAATAAAACTATATAAGTTAATTTAATTATAAAGCAATTATATTAGAATTTTATTTTAATTATTAAAATTTATCGTTAACTCTTTAATTAAAATAAGAATAATTTTGACATTTAATCTTTATGTTTTCAACTGAATTTTATAATTAATCAAATTCATTTTTTAACGATTAATATTTTAAATAATAATCTTTGATTGCTTATTAATATATTTGTTATTCTTAATTCTACTTATCTTCCATCTATTTTATTTATTATTCTTTTTAGAATTTTATAATAAATTTTTAAATATCTTAATTAATTATGTTGGTTTCTTAATTGAGTATCTAGAATTAATTTTTATATTAATTTTCTAAATTCAAAATCCAAGAATATTATTTAAATATTTCCAAATTTTCTAAATTATTCTCTTCTTTGCTTATTTTTTTTAACTCTTCTTTCTTTTCATTTATAAAATTGATAATTAACTATAAAAGATTTTGTAAATCGCATTAACTTTACTAATAACTAAGGATTTCTTATTTTTATTTTTCAATAACTCCTATAGAATTATTTATAGCATCTTTTAATATATTAATTGTGTTTTTTAATGATTATTTTTTAAGATTAAGTTCATTTTCATATTATTTTTAAGCCTGCAATTATAATTCTTATTCTTTTGCTTTTAATTCTTTTTAATATTTTAATTCTGTTTCTTATTATATTTTTTTTTTTATTTATTCATCTTCTAATTGTTTTTTTCTTAACAAACTTTCTCTAATTTGATTTTTAAGTCTTTAAGCTTCTTCTTATATTTTTTAATCAAATTCTATTTAACATTAAGCTTTGTATTTATTAATTTAAGCTTGAAATTATAATTCTTATTACAATTTCTATTATTCCTTGTTCTAATTTATTGTTAATTCTTATTATCCTATCACTTTTCTAAGTTCATTTTCCTTATTTAAAATTAATTAATTATAATGAGATTATAATTACTATTTTATTTATTCAATTTCCTCTTCTTATTTTTATTTCATATTTTGAGATAGTTCGTTTAATTTTATCTAATTAATTTACATCAAGTTTCTTTCTTTTTCTTAAAATTCTTTCTATAAATTCTATTTCAACTCCTCAATATTTTACCTATCTCTTTGATTTATGATTTCCTTTAATTTATTTCTAACATCATCTAATTTGATTCTTCTCTCACTATCTAGACAAATCATTTATTTTAGAATTTCTTTTACATTATTTTAAACATTATCAATTACATCAATTTTTTAATATATTTCATTTTGCTTAATTTAATTGATCTAATTTATGATCATAAATTAATTCATACCTAGAATAAAAATATTTTTACCATCAAAAAATAATTTTCTGGTTAATATTTCATACCAAATTATTCCCATAGCCCAAACATCAATAGCTTTTGTATAGTTTTCATTTTCTAGAACTTCACGAGCAATATAATAAGGTGTTCCTATATTTAAAGTTTATCTATCTGAATCTGATTGATTTTTGGAAAGACCAAAATCAATTAATTTAATTATTAATTTTTATTCTTAATCGCGGCAACATACATAATTTTCTGGTTTTAAATCCCTATGAAAATAACCCATATTATGAAATTCTTCAAGTCCTAAAACCATCTAAAATAGTTTTATAAAATACTTGATAAAATAGTTAATTTTTTTCGTGGATATCTTAATTAATAAATTCATTAGTATTTATATACTAAAATAAATCCATTTCTGCTAATTCCATTACAATATAATAAATATTATTCAATTTTTCAATTGCATATACTCCTATGATGTTTTTAGGTTTTTTCTATTATATATTCCTTAGAATTATCTCCTCTTTAGAATTTAATTCTTTAACTACTTTTAGAGCCACTTTTTAATTTGTGTTTTTTATAAAACCTTGATATACTGTACCTTATGATCCAGATCCTTTTTTAAATTGAATTATGATAGTGATTTAATAGCTTGGAAGGTATATGAAATTCTATTAAGAGAACTATTAATTCATTGTAAAAAATAATTAATTATTTTAAATAACAATTATTAAATGATGAATTAAAATTTTAAAATCCAATCATTTTTAGATTTTAAGCATTATCGAAATCATTTTGAACTTCTTTTTCAAAAGAATTTATACAATTTCTGATTCTTTGAAAATTTATATTTTATGTAATCGATTGATCTATTTTGATAATTAAGGAATTAACCCTTAAGAAAATTTAAATTTTTTGATAATTAGATGAGATAGTTATCATTATATTAACCTTAATATTACTATTATTATAATAATCATGATGTAAATTTTTTAATTTCAATAAAAATCAAGTTTTTTTAAAAATTCATTATAAATTAAGATCTAAATAATAAAATAGTTGATATTATTGATTTAGATGAAATCAAAATTAAATTTCCTCCCAAACATTCAACAATTGGTAACCCAAAATTGTCTAATTCATGAATAAATATTAAATATTTCAAAATTTATTCTAAAATAGGAATATATTAAAACAGAAGTATTAAATAAAATTACCAGAATTATCCAAATAGATTTAGTGAATGAAATTTAAGTACTCTATTGATGTAATCAATTCTTTTTTGATGATAAAATAATTAAAATTATGATGAAATATATTAGAGTTATTGGAATTAAACATTTTATTCTATTTCAAAGAAAATTATACTTTAATCTTTTTATAAACTTAATTAAAATTTAAAATACGTAAGATTTGATTTCAATTATTAAAACAATTTAAGTTTAACAAATTTTAATCAATTTAGCTTTAAATTTATTCAAATGAACTATTAGAAAAATAATATTTAAAAAGGATTATTTTATTATGTGTAAATTTATATGAAAATCAGTAAATTAAATTAATTGTTTTTAACAATGAGTTTGATTGAAATTTTTAAATTATATGCTATCTTTATTAATTTAAAATTATAGAGACTTGTTAATTTAAGAGAAAGGGAAGTGTATCTCTTTAAATTTGGTTATTTAAGTGTGTTAAATTTATTGATTATGTGATATTATGTAAATTAATATTCTTTTAAAATTTCTCTCCACAGAAAGTATTTTAGTTATAATGTTTAGTTTTAATTGTTAAGAACTTTAAATTTATGTAATGATTCCTAATCATAAATTTGAATTATATTATATTTTCTTCTATTATTTTTGATTCAATTTGAAAGTTAATTAAGGTTGGAGATAGAATATATATAAAATTTTCTTGTTTTGATAAATGGTTTATAAAATTTCTTTTTAATAGATTAATAAGATAGGAATGGAATCTTTAGATGATGAGAAGGTTAAAAAGGAATATTTTATTTATATAAAAAATTAATGATAAAAATAAAACCCGGTGGAGAGCTGTTAAATTACTAATTCTTATAGGTAATTCTTGTTTTATATTTTGAAGGTTCCACAATGTAATAACTGTGGTACTTATATTAGCAATCTTACTATAATAAAAAAAGATCAATGGCAATGCTAAATTTGCAAACGATTGTTAAAATTACCAGTTTGGTATAAGCAATAACCTATTTAATTTGATAACTTTGAGATTGGATTAATACATCCAACTTTTAGTAGAAAAGCTCTTTTTTTAATTGACGTGACTTCTTTAGTTTTATGTCGTATGATTATTCCATTAATAGAGTCATCTCTTAATTAATTTGATGAAGTAATATTTATTTATTTACATTAAGATTGCTTTGATTCCTTGTACTCCACATCCTACTATTATACAATTTATCAATAATAAGGTCAATATCATAACACTTACTTCAACTGATCAAGAATGTAAATTAGAACTTTTCTATAATTGTTAAACTTAATTCCAAAAAATTAGACGTATTTGTAGAATTATTGAATCTCTTGCTTAATATAATCATAATGCAAATGTTTTAAAATCTAATTAT